TTCTTCATTTATTAAGCATGAAATCCACAAGGTACACCAAAAATTCAACAATCAAATAATTAATTAACAAAAAAATTAAAAATAAAAAATTAGGTAAGTCACACTAATTCCTTAACCATAAGCTACACCCTTCCAATCCCTCCATCCTATCACCCGTTGACACCTGCAAATCCCATCATACCCAACAACTTAGAGAGAGAAACTCTCTGAAAGAGGAGAGAGAAACCTTCGAAGCTCGCAACAATGGCGTCAACAATGGCGGCGATTAAGATGGCAATCGGAGACGCTGTACTCACCGCCATGTGGGTTTTCTCGGCGTCAACCATCGGTCTTTTCACTTACCTCATTTCTACTTCGCTCGGAATTCAGGGACCTTTAACCCTAGTTATCACTACCACAATTGTCGCAACTCTTGTTTTTGTCTACACTTTTGTCGGGCAATTGCTTGGTGGTGCTAGTTTTAATCCTACTGGAACCGCCGCCTTTTACGCTGCTGGTCTTGGGGGTGATTCTCTTCTTTCGTTGGCGTTGCGATTTCCGGCTCAGGTTGATTTTGATTGTTTCGGGTTTTTGTTTAGTTTGATTTGATGGCTTTGGAAGTGGGATTGTTTAGAATTGGTGAATTTGGTTGTTATATGTTTTGAATTTTGTGTTGTGTTAATTGAAATTGGATGATCATTAATGTTGTTTGAATGTTAATGTGGAAGATGTTTTAGTTTCAGAAGTTTTGATATCAGTGGAGTTGACTTTTTGTGTTTAATTTGATTTTCTGTGAAAGTGTGGCCGAGACTTTAACCAATTAAACTAGTTTTAATGTAACGTGGTTTAGTGATGTGATATAATTATGCCAGGAGAGTTTTTAGTAGGGGGTGTTGGTGTTTAGTTTCGATTGAAATGGAATGTATGTTTGATTGACAGAGTTGACTTAACATGCATGGGGAGTTTGAGATGTTTTCTCAAGAAGTTTCAGGATCACTGTCGTTTTAAGTAAGTGTAGGAGTGCAGGACTAGGAATCTGGGGTGAACGACTTTGGTAGTAATTGAAGTTTTTTTGTGGAATGTTTATATCAATTCTTGTGATTTTGGTTCATGTTGTTGAAGTATATGGTATGAAAATCCTGCTAGATTTAACTAATTAAATGACTTCTTGGCCAAGATTTTATTTTGCTGGATTTTCACTAAAACATCAGTGGTCAAAATTGCTTTCTTTTTCATCTGACTAGCTATCAATTGTCTGTTTGTCTCGTTTTCATAGTAGTTAGAATGTGCAAGTTTTTCCCTTTTCTCTGTAATTGGATGCGTATTCACTATTTGGTCTCGCCTGATGCTTAAGTGATGCATAATATTTGGTTAGAAGTTTTATTAGATTCTTCTTCTTAATTCACAACTCCAAACTTTGAGAAAATTCCAATAAACAAGCATTTAAAAATCACCTGTTGGCTTTCTCTTGACAAGTGATCTCGTGGTTTATAAGTGTACATCTATTCTATGCCCTTTTTATGTTGTTACATTTTGACTATGTAAGCAGTCACATCCTCTGTAACATTTAATTTGAATTGTAAAGATTAAAAAATTCGTTTGAAACTGTAAGGTGATTTTGCTACCAATATATATATTTCTGATGATATGAACTTTTTTTATGGCAGGCGGCTGGTGCTGTTGCCGGTGCCATAGCAATCTCAGAAGTGATGCCAAGTCAGTACAAACACATGTTGGGGGGACCTTCCATTAAGGTTGACTTGCATACTGCAGCCATGGCAGAAGGGGTGTTGACTTTTCTTATAACCTTGGCTGTCCTCATCATTATCATCAGGATTCCAGGTCACATGTTGGTGAAGACATGGCTGCTTGCCATGGCTACTGTAACTTTGGTTGTTGCCGGCTCCAGTTATACTGGACCTTCAATGAATCCTGCCAATGTAAGTATATTTTTGCTGAATGACTGTGTGCCATATCTGTTCTGAGCTAAAGTCTTTCCATTGATTTAATTATGTCCCCATTAGCTGATTTATGTGCACCATTTATTATAAGCAGTTTCATCACTAGTGATTCTACCCCACAACATTCCCCGCAAATCTTCAATCATAATTTGGATTATTAAGTGGCTGGAAAACATAGCTTAATAGGTTCAAAACAGGATTTATGTCCTGATCAGCCCAATAAACTAAGAACAGTGGGATTGTCCATTCATAAGCTGCGTCCCTGTCTTTAGTGTCACTGCCCTTTATTTTATTTTTTTCCTCTGCTATCCTTTTTTGGACTATGCTCTTCGCCAAGTGAGAGTAGTTACCTACTTACCTCTCAGGACTGCTGTTGCACTGTCATTAGTGTCATACTTTTGTATCAATTAAAGGAATGTTGTGATTATGCAGAATGAAATGCGTTATGCATTACTTATTAATATACCCTGCAGACTTTTGCAGAATAATGAAGTTGGCAACTGGTACCCATAGAGCTTCAAAACCAAATGATATCCTTGTTTTCCTTTCTTTATGACAATGATAGATTCAAGATACTTTGCCTGGTATAGTGGAAAAGTACATATGTTAGTGATGTATGTTGTGAACATTGAACCCCCCTTAAAAAGACACCAGATGAAAGGGTACATAATGCAGAAAAGATGACATATGAGTTTACTTTGATGCCATTGCTGTGGCCATTAGTGGAAGCAGTAGACGAGGAGGGCTTTCTGTTCTCTCCATGAGATTGATTGAGCAAAAAATGCTGCAGTTTTGTAAATTATGCATTGACCATGAATAATTTAGCTACGTGGTTTAGTAAAGGAGATCGTCTCTTATTGTATTACAACTACTATGATTTATTTCTTTTATTGTATTACTGTGTAGTAGATAATTAATTGTCTTATGTTGTTCTTGCAGGCGTTTGGATGGGCATACATTAGAAAACAGCATAATACATGGGATCAGTTGTATGTTTACTGGATCTGTCCCTTTATCGGTGCAATTGGGGCTGCTTGGGTGTTCAGAATCATCTACCCGTTGCCTAAAAAGCAGAAGAAAGCGCCAAAGAACAGGAAAGCAGAGTAGTTTGGTTCCATATTGCTACAAGGAAATTAGTTGTTCATAAATTAATGTGGTAATTTAACCACATTCTTATTTTTCATTACCTTCAATTGTAATATGATAACATCCGAATTATGAATTCTCATAGATTCATAGGTGGGTTTGGTAAGATGTTAGGAATGAAGTTGTGCAATTATATTATACAAAGTAGTGTTTCAGGTTTTGATTGCAGGCTTGGCCTTTAAATTTTGTCAAGAACGAACAACAAAGCAAAAGAATATAATCCAGCCAAGAATTCCTAGTTGCAAAAGCTATATTATGGTCCAAGCTTAATACACACGTTAGCATGACTAATGGAACAAGATGTAAAAGAAGATATGGAAAGGATGTCTTGCTGATAATGCTTGAAATTTTGGGTGGTACTGATTGAGCTGCCTGCAATAAGTGCAAACGAGTATATATGTCATCTCTGATTTTCAGGCTTTGTAAGGCCTCGTTAGACTGTAAAATCCTCTGGCTGTACTGATGTAGTGGCCAAAATGCGCTCTCTGCTGGTCAATCTCTCACTAGCAGATCCAATGCTAGCTGTGCTGCTCTTCTGTCAATTCCATTTCCAGGATCCATATATCTATCAACACCTTAACAGCTGCACCAATTTCAAGTCCGGCTAGTATATGACTGTATGTACGAGTGGGTGCGCGCTTGCACACACGCTCACACAACTGCTTATGTGAAGGGGAAGCTGATGCTTTATAAACCCTTACCTGAGTAGCCACATGAATTTTTTTACTCATCCTAATTTCATGACGAAAGTTTATTGTGCACATTTCAAAAAGGAGGAAAAGTAAATAACTTGTGTAGCAAAGCATCAAATCAGCAACTTTAAGGCAAAGAACACATGCATATGATGCATTCATGTATGATGTAACATCAAACTATTCCTTCAATCATGCAATTAACACGACGTTTCCATTTACTCCTAACAAGAAGGGAGGCAAGAGCAAGCAAAGGGCTTTCTAAGATGTACTTTTTCTTTACATCCCTTACTAGAAAAAAAAAAAGGCATTTTACCCTCACAATCTATCGACAGTCACAAATCTCACAATGTGTTTTGTATTTGCTAGTTTGCTTCTTTAATTACCATATACCTTGCTTAAACCATTTGGGTTTGTTGCTTGGTTCTAGTCTTCCACAATTAACAATTTCCTAAATCTAGTTGATGTGTTTGTCAATTGGCGCCTTCGAAATGTCGATTTCTTTAGTTGTGGTGACTTGGTGGCCTAGTCGAAAAAGGGTGAAGTGTTATGGCGGACTTGTTGTCTCATCAGCACTAACCTCTATTGCAATGGATCACGAATGACAATTACATCTTTTTTTTTTTTTTTTTTTTTTTTTTTTTTTTTTTTTTTTTTTTTTTTAGAAAAACACCACATGATTATGTTACCCTCTTACATTGTTCTTTACAATAAACATAACAAACTCTACCTATTAACCATACTAGTTTTACAAAATCTATTACTCCATCTATCATTTTTTTCCCCTAAAGATTTTGTGTTATATCAAACTATCAATCATACAAAACTTGTGAATTTTGTAATAAATAATTGATTCTCATATAAATAAGTGTAATTTACATCCTTCAGTGAGATGTAGATTTGGCAATCCTGACCCACAAAATTGATAATCTGATTCGAATGATCTGAAATTGATCCGATTCATACTCGACCCGAAAATAGAGTTGATCTGATCTTAACAGACACCCGAACTAATTTGATCCAACTCGAATAATCAAATATTACTCGACCCGAAGAATCCAACCCAGACTCGACCCGAATGACCCGATTGTGAGATGTGAAAACTGAAAACTACAATTGCTTACTCTCCGACACTACCCTTGAAAGTTCCCCTACTTTTCCTCCGTACAAATCAAATAATTTTATTTTTAAAAACTCCATACTATATAAGTACCCGAAACCATCAGAACATTGGAATACATAAATCATTTTTATTTCTATCATACTCTAACATCATAAATCTCTTCCCTTCCCTCCCTTAGGAAGAGAGAGTGAAGAGAATTTATCAAAAAAAAAACCCAAAAAAATTAATCACCCATTTCACCAAATTCCCCAAAAAAATCATAATTTATCCACCCAAATCAGAAGAACTGGAGTCGTCGGGTGGTGTAAACGGGCAGATCAGATTCAGATCGCCGTCATCGGCGGAGCTTTTCACGGAGGGTCAGGCACCGCCATTGTCGTCGTCAAACCCAGTTGGGGTTTCATCATCAACTTCCCCAGCATCATCTGATCAACCCCATCTACAAGACGCACACCACTCGTTCGACAAAATGCTTAAGAAAAACAAGTATCAACAAGAGTCGTTTTCTGACAAGATTTACCGTTATAAGGGTATAATTCTTGTGATTACATTGCCCCTTTTGCTGATCTCGTTTGTTCTGTATATGATGCCGGGTCCCACTGATGAAGGGTTCTCTCCTAGGAAGATGAAGACTGGTAGTTCTGTTGCGGTTGGTGGTAGTAGATATGCTGTGATCTTTGATGCTGGGAGTTCTGGGAGTAGGGTTCATGTTTTTCGTTTTGATAAGAATTTGGATCTTGTTCCCATTGGTAATGATCTCGAACTCTTTGTTCAGGTGAGTGAATTTTTGTGAAAATTTTGAATTTTTATTTAGTGGGTTTGATTTGGATGTAAGTTTAGTTTTGTGGGAATTTTTCAAATTTTCTGAATTCTGCTTTATGCTGATTTGAGAGTGTTAATTGTGTTTGTGGTATTTAAAGATTAATATGTACTGGGTTTGATTTGGATTTAGTTTTATTTTTGTGGGGATTTGTGAAATTCTTCTGAATTATGCTTTTGAACTGATTTGGGAGTGTTTGGGTTGCTTATGATCTATCTACATAGTATGGATCTAAAGGTTAATGCTGGTAATACATAATTGTTTCTAAGGTTACTTTGATTTTGCTTGGTAATTGGCTTTGCAGTTTCTGAATGGATTTTTATTTTTTCATGAATGTAATTATGGCTTTAATTATGGTGCATTGTACATTGATGGATTTTTGGGACGAGTTCTGATGTGGTTTAAATAATTGAATGCCGGACAAGTCTGAAGCTTATTGTTTCAGTGATTTGATCATCTCTGATTTTTGGTTAGAGTTTGAAATTCAAGAATGAAATCAAAATGCATGATTATTCTTATCTAGTGATTACTGATCAGTTATCTGGGCATAAAAAATGATATATTTGCTTTAGTATTGCAGGGGATCAGTTAACTTAATTGGAAAGGGCTTAGGTAGTTGGTGGATTTGGTTTCTAGAATTGCAATTATACTTGTGATAGGTTTTTGAATCATCTAGTAAACCTTGAGCTCAAGATGTTTCCTCTAGTTTACCCCTGTCCTGGTTTACTTCTGTGTTTAAAGCTACTTGTTTTTCTATTGAAGGCAGGGTTTATCTTTATCCCAACCTTTGCTGAGCTTGCAAAATGATGTTGACTGTATTTGTCTGATTGCCTCTATCCCTATGCAGTGGTTGCTGCTCCTTTTTCTTCTTTCATTTGCTGTTGTGTAATAGTTGGCTTCTTATAGGTGGTAGATGTCGTGTCTTACTTAAAATTTGTTTCATGCTTTTACTTTTCCTGTCAAGCTTCATCATTGAGTGAATAGAAATTAATATGCAATACTTGCAATTGTTATATAACCCTGGTTTTCAATTTTTCTTTGTAGAAAAAACCAGGTCTAAGTTCATTTGCAAGCAACCCTCAGGATGCTGCTAATTCACTAGTTTCTCTCCTAGAGCAAGCAGAAGCTGTTATTCCCAAGAACTTGCTTGGGAAGACTCCCGTCAAAGTTGGGGTAAGCTATGTAGCTGATAGTTCTTCTTCCCTAAATGATCAATTGTCTAATATTTTGTTATTTGCCAGTATAACCTGAAAAAATTGAGCCATTTTCTCTTACAGGCAACTGCAGGTTTGAGGCAATTGGATGGTGATGCGCCTGAAAGAATATTGCAAGCAGTATGTTCTTGACTCTCTTATTTGTCATGCATGATAAATAATTACTTTTTGGTGTCTCTCATTGTTGGGTTGTCAGAGAAGATTTGACAAAAATGTAATTTCTCTTTTTTGTCTTTTAATTGACGTTGGTATCTTATTTTATATAGGTCAGGGACCTGCTCAAGGATAAAAGTGATCTGAAATCAGAACCAGACTGGGTCACTGTCTTGGATGGAAACCAGGAAGGTGCATTTCAGTGGGTATGTGGTCACATCCTTAAACTTCTTTTGTTGCTTATCCTAAAGTCCTAGTGAATTAATTTTTACTACATATATACTGTTATGTGGGCACTTTTAGTAGATTTTGAGGACTAAAGTGGGTAGCAAAAGAAATAGTCTCTCTCTCTCTCTCTCTCTCCCCGCTAGTGTAGTAGTGTTGTCTGTTCACCACTTCACCAATAATTTCTAAGTTCATTGTGAGTCGTCTTACTGTGCCTGTTTTCAAAATGCTTGACTGGATTCTACAGTATTTAACACAGTTTATTGGATTTTTTTGTCCTTTTTTTTGCTACTTGGTGGTTTTTTGAAAGTATAGTCTCTGCTTATAGACTATGTCAATGGTATCCATTGCTGTTTCTCCTCAATGAGAGCACACATGCTTGTCAGGTAGTACCTTTCATTGCCGTACAGTACTATCCCTTTTCTTTTATATGCGATTATGTGTGCTTTTGGTTGCTGATGGTTGTGTTCTTAAATGGGCCTATTTTTATGATGGAACCTAGTTGATTAGTTATAGATTTTGAAAGCGCTCACTCTGTGCATGTGTTTTTCTCCCCTTGAATCCTAATATGCATGACGCTGGATTTAGTGGCTTCAGCATTTGGCATCTTTATGTTAAGCATTTGGAGCTTAATTTGTTTTTCTTCATTGGTGTGTAGGTAACCATAAACTATCTTCTAGGAAAATTGGGAAAGAAATACTCAGATACAGTGGGAGTAGTTGATCTTGGAGGTGGGTCTGTTCAGATGGCATATGCTGTTTCTGAGAGTGATGCTGCTAATGCTCCAAAGGTGTCTGATGGTGAGGAGGCATATGTGAGGGAAATGTATCTAAAGGGTAAAAAGTACTACCTATATGTGCACAGGTCAGCCTGTCTTCTCTCTAAAGTACTTTCTGTGCTTGTTTTTTCACACCTTGTTTCTTTGTCTGTATCTTTGTATCTAAATGAACTTGTCATTAAATTGTTTTGCTATCACCTTTAAGCTCATTGAGGCTTCTTTTTCCAGTTACTTGCACTATGGTTTACTGGCTGCTCGTGCTGAGATTTTGAAGGAAGTTGGGGATTCAGAAAATCCGTGCATATTGCCAGGCTATCAAGGTATAAACTCATTAATTTCTGCTATCATATCCGTCATTATTTCAACTACTGCCCATTGGATTAGGCACATCATATTCATTTGGATGACTTTGTAACATCTTGTTTACAGTGCTCTTTTGCTTCTTTTGTTCCTAAGTAGCTAATTATTCTATTCTTTTGCCATTTTATGCTACAATTGCATGTTTAAGTTTACTGTATGATCCTCAGACCTATCTTAAACTGGTGATTTACACAAGGCACTGGGTGGTTGTTATGCTATGAATGCTATGATGTGTATTCATTTTCATGGTACACAATCCATTCAGTCTAGCCATCTTGAATCAAATTTCTTGTTAGTAGAAGATCTATTAACCGTCCTTTTTCTGTCAACTTGTGCCATATCTGGGAGCCTCTTGAGAGGCATTGGACTGTTCATATGATAGGTTCACATTCTTTGTAGGTGATGCTATGTTTTTCTAAATAAATGAAAATGGATAGTGTTTTTCTTTGATATTTGTACATATTCATGTGTATATGTTACTAGTGAAATTTATTCCCCTAATTTTTTAAGTGCTCTGTTTTGGTGAGTTTGGGTGAATGAGTTATCATTCATACATATCAGATAAACAGCCTGTGGATGGGAATTGTAGATTTACTTATCATCATGGTAATTGACATTATAATCTTCTGCTTTCAAGGTTCATACAAGTACGGAGGAGTTCAGTATGAAGTGTCAGCTTCTCCATCTGGCGCAGATGTGGATTCTTGCAAATCATTTACAGCGAAAGCTTTGAAAGTCAATGAAACATGTACCCACATGAAGTGCTCTTTTGGCGGTGTATGGAATGGTGGTGGGGGTGATGGACAGAAGAATCTGTTTGTTGCTTCATTTTTCTTTGATAGAGCAGCCGAGGTATGTTTTTTAGTTTTTTTACTAGGTTAGAACCCGTGCGATGTGCGGTTTATATAAAACCTATTTTTAATTAAAAATAAATCGCTATTATACATGAATATAAATAAGAATTACCTATATTTTGTAATTTTAAAATTTTTTATATTAATCAAAATTATGATATAGTATTAGTTCAACGTAATCTATTTCATAGTTCAATATAGGAGCTCATTTATTAGTGTGCTATTTAAAACTGTTTCAATTTTCTACGATAAATTGATATATTTTAGTTGTAATGTAGAAGCTTCCAATATTTAATTTCAAAAATGTTAAATATGATAGCTTTCCAAAAAAAAAAAAAGTTAAGAAAAAGAAAAAAAAAAAAAGAAAAGAAAGATGACATCATCATTGCATTTAGGCTGGAAAATTTTTATTGAAAAAGCCACACGTGAGCAATGGTGATGTCAGCAACTTCTGTTTTAGTAATAGTTAATAAATTTGAAATAGTTATGGGGTTCTTCTTCCAACTTAAAATAATCCCTTTCTTCCCACATTAAAATAAATAAAATATAATATAATGAAAAAAAGCAGTACCAGTAGTTTGGTATATCAATTAAACTTCATTTATTGTTTCTGCAGGCTCGTTTTATTAACTCAAAGGAACCAGTTGTCACTGTACGCCCTTCAGATTTCAAGGAAGCTGCTGAGCGCGCTTGTGGCACCAAGATTGAAGATGGGAAATCTAAATTCCCAGATGTAGAAGAAGGAAATCTGCCTTACCTATGCATGGATCTTGTTTACCAATACACACTACTTGTGGATGGTTTTGGTAAGTTGATTCTCTTATCTGTTTCTATGATAAACGATTTCCCTTAGGGCTCGTTAAACTTATTCTAATCTTTTGTTGTGTGCTTGTTCTTTTTACACAGGCCTAAAGCCTTCACAACAGATGACATTGGTGAAGAAAGTGCCATACGGAAATTCTCTGGTGGAAGCAGCATGGCCACTAGGAAGTGCCATCGATGTCATGTCATCCTTGGCATAATTGAGAAATATGTCATCGTTGAAGCTTTTCCCTGCCTTTCAGGCTAGTCTTTTTGTTGGAATTGAGTCTTGACTACTGCTATGATTGGGTGGACAGTGACTCCAGAAGTTTTGACACGCCTTCTTGCTTTCCAGATCTGTACCAAATTGATTCAAAGAACTGCTGTTGGATGACATTAAAAATGACTTTGATACCAGTGACTTATGTCATTATTCTTTGTAATTATTTTATACAATGCCAAGTAGCTGATTGTTTTATTGATCAATTGAAAGTAATACTCCATAGATGATTTCAAATAGAAGTATAGCAGTAGTTGAAACTCCTGTGCTCGGTAAAGAGGTTAAGCTTTATTATTATAAAACAACCAAAAATTAATAAATTGACTTAGGCTTTGGTTTTTCTCACCTTGTTGTCAATTCTTTCAAATTTTAAGGTTTGTGCAAGTTAATTTAATAAGTCAATACTATATACTAAAAGGCATACTAGTAATGACACGTGTCATCTCATGGTGTGTCCTTAATTATTATTATTTTTTTTATATAAAAAATTTATTAATTAAGGAAACAAATCAATTTCCAAAATAATATTATTTGTTGTACATATTCCATATTAATGTAGTATATTTAAAATAAAAAGATTTCACAAATAATTTTTCTAAAACAGAAAATTGGACAATTATAAACCAAAAATTATATTCTTAAAAATATTTTGTGTTCTGTTTTACAACAAAAAAATATTGGTCGGATTTTTTGCCTACTTTTATTTTTAATTGTGTATTAGAAACTACAATTAAAATTTAACATATCATATACTTTTATTATTCCTCGACTAATTTATGATTATAATATTTATCTATTAATAATGTATAACGATCACCGTGCATGGCACGAGATCTAACCTAGTTCTGCACTAAAGTGATGTCAAGTATTTTTATTTTTTTTATTTTTTTTTGAATAAATGTGATGTCAAGTATGAACAATGAACAAATGCATTGATATATTAGAAGTCCAAGTCCAATTTAAAAACAAGAGAGAGATGATTAAAATGCTAAACTTGGTCCAAAATTGACACTCTTGTATTATTTTGGTCGTATCTTAAGATATTGACCTTATTTTAATTGGGTTTGAGACTAGATTTCTAGAGCTTTCTAACTATATTATATGCCTTAATTCAAGTTTGAAATTAAAGGTTATGATAAAAATAATAATTGTAAAAAATTGAAAACAAAATGCTTGGATTTTTCAAAATTCTAGGCGAGAAACACCTTTTCACATGAGATTTTCAAAAATCTCATACATTTTTCCTCTTTACAAAATTTTATTTTAAAAAAATCACAACTTTAACTCCGATGATAACTTTGTCCTTGGCCTAGTGATTTGTTTGGAGGAGATAATGTTAAATTAAGTTAAGGATATGGAAAACATAAGATACATGTGAGTTCATATTAGTCCATTTAAATTTAGTATGCGAGACATTACCTGATAAAAAATAAATATTATTTAACGACCTCTTAACCATAAACATGTAGTGCTTAAGATTCAAGAATGATTTTTTTATTAAAAAAAAAAAAAAAAAAAACGAATTGATGGTTAACAATGTTAATATTTTTTTGACGTGAAACAATAATGTTAATATTATCATTGAATGATTTCCTTAAAAATTGCTTAAAGGTAAATTTATTTCCTATATGTATTGGTTTAAAAACTTATTCCCATGATGTTAGGATTGGACAGAGCTTCAGTTTTTTTTTTTTTTTTTCCAAACATAGAACCACTAACGGTGATAGCGGTTTTATACATTAAAACTGTTAATATCGTTAGCGGTTCTAATAGACAAAAGGAAGTGGAAAAGAAATTATAGTGTGATGTTATTTAATTATTAGAACCGCTATCACTGTTTTAATGTATAGATACGCTATCACCGTTAGCGGTTCTATGTTTAATTGGAAAAAAAAAAAATTACAAAACTCTAACCAATGCTACGTGGACAACATAGTGGGACTTACTTTTTAAACCGATACATATAGGGAATAAATTTATGCTTGAACATTTTTAGGGAAATCATTCTATTATCATTGTTTCAAAAGAAAATGTTAATATTATCATTGACCTCCTATTTAGGGTCTGTTCTCATTAACTGAATTGAGCTGAACTGAATTTATTAGGGGTGAACTGAACTAAAATGAATATTTTATAAAAGAGGAAAATTAGGAGTTGAACTAAACTAAACTTATTAGAGCTGAACTAAACTGTGTACTGAATAAAAATAATCGTATAAGTAATTACAGACTTTACATACCCCATACCACTTTTTTTTTTTTTTTTTTTTTTTTTTTTTTTTTTTAAATAATAGTAATAAAAATAATAAATTAAAAAAAAAAATCAGCATATAGTGGGTCGACTAGTCGAGTGAGAACAGCAGAGTTCTCTCGACTCTCGACTGCCTGAATAAGCATAACAATCTCTCTCTTCTTTCTCTCTCATTATTCTACAATTCTTGTAATCAATTCTCTTCCAATATTTATTGATCTTGTATTAAACAATTAGAAAAAGCTGAATCAGTTTTATTCTTGGGTTTTTTAACCCATCAAATTCCTAAACCTATAACCAGTAACAACTGAACTTGAACTTGAGAGCTTCAGCCGCCATTGAGCTCAGGTAGTATTCTTCCCCTTTCCAGATTACTTTGAAATTTATTAATATATGCAGTTTGTGGTAATGGGTTTGAGTGTTTTGTTCAAATGTTGAATTTATTTATGCTTTTATCAGCTAATTTTTTACTTGATTGATGAGTTTGTTGTATTCTTAATTATTTTGTGTTTCATTTACTTTTAAAATTGACTTGATTAATGGGGTTGTTGTATTATTATTACTTATAATTTTTGAAATCATTTATTTTTATGATTTCTTATTTGATTTTGCTGAATGTTGTGTAAAAGGGTATTTTAAAATTGTTGAATAAAAATTGATGTATATGGACAAGCTGATAAAATAGAGCTAAAAGCTTAAACATTTGAATTTTATTTGATAGAAGAAAGGATGAATAAGAGCTCGATGTCTAATATTTGAACTAAAATTCAAATTTTGAGGGGATTTTGATGGAGAATTCTGATTTTTATTTATTTATTTATGATTTAATAGTAGAAATTGAAGTTGCAATTACAAATAAGTACAAAGTCTTAATCTTTGGGGGTGTTGTCAATGCTATCAATGTAACTGATAAAAATTATTTCTTGACTCTCAGGGAAGTGGAGCACTTAATACAATAACAACAATGATTTGTGAATTTTTGAAGACAGTAGATGCAATGTGAAGAAATGATCAATAATGTTGTTTATGCAATTTTTAAGGAGTAGAAGAAGGAATTTTCTTGCACCTTTTTCTTCGCTTACAAATGCTTTTTCAATCCCCATCAAATATCTCCCCTCTCAAAATTCCCTTATCCAATCATCATCTCAAGTTTCCATACCACATTCAAAGACAAAGTTCTATGCCTCCCTTTTGTGCTCCCTCATTCATCTATTTCTGTCCTGTGGACATCCTTCCCGGGCTATTCAAACATTTTCCTTCATGCAATCGAATGGAGTTGCTCCGTCAGACTTGCGGTCGTGGAATCACCTCCTACGTGGATTTCATAACCTTGGCATGGCTTGTCAGGTATTGCTTGTGCATTTAAATTGGTTAAGGGTTGGTTATTTACCTTTTATATAAGGTATAAGAGGGGGGGGGGGGGGTCTAACATCCTATGCTACTTCTTAGAATTGCAAAGTATTGGGGTGCATGCTGATCACACTGTACAACTAATGAATATGTCACTGTTATTTAAGTCTGTGACTCACTGCACACAATGCTTTTTTGAAATGGTCAATTGTGATATATATGTTTCAATTTAACCATTTTAATTAATATAAATGAGTATAAGAGTGGAAATATACATTCAATAATGTACTCCGGATGCTAATTGACAATTCACATTTTCTCGTGTATTTTTCAATATACCAGAGTTATATTATAGATAAAGGCAAAAATTATCTGGAAAGTAGGGATGTGAAAAGTTTTAAATATATCCTTATCTGTGAAGATGCATAAAAATGTAAACACAAAGAAAAAGGGATGACCTTTGTGAAATGATTTTGGCACTCCTACTGTGAGAGCGCAGTTTTATATGCTCTACTCACAAGGAGGAGATCCAAATAAATGAAATGAGTGCCAATTCATTTCCCAGGTCTTTGATTAGGAAAGGAGTGTATATGCTAGGTCCTAATATATTGATTTAGTTTGAAAAACAAAGATTGATCTTGTATTTTGCACTTTATAATTCCGCTTTGCAAGAACAAAGATTGATCTTGTAGTTGGCACTGTATGATTCTGCTTTGCAAGAACTCCAAACCCCCTAGTGTTTTCCTTATTTCTTTTGGGTCTGGTTGGGTGAATGGTATGTGTGTGCATTGGCAGGATTGAGGGAATCATAAGAGTTATTGAATTTAAAGTAAGTTAAATGGATGATCTTTGATGGCGGTTCCTTGGAGTTAGCTTGCATGCCTATCATATTAATAATATATACCTCCCCCCCCCCCCCCCCCCTCCTCTTCCTCTCTTAGAAGAAAAACATAAAATTTCTTGCTAGTTATTGTGCTCAAAGTTTTTGATTTTGGAGATATATGTGTAGATGGGTTTTAAGTGTGGGTATATGCTTCCCTTCACCCCCTCTTTAAGGCATTTGCATTTTGATTCTGCTTAAGTGTATACTTGATACACATCACTAAATCGGCTTTAAAGTAGCTCTGATTAGATTATTTAGGTATGGCTTGTGTTGGAAAATGCTATCCTGTGGATTTCCCTTGTCTCCGTACTGAGGACATTCTAGTCAAACTACTTGCTAATTGGATAATTTGAATTTTTCTTTTAACTGATCATCAGGTATGGCTTGTCTATTCAGAGATGCTGGCTTGTGGGGTAATGCCTAATGTCTCCACCCATAACATATTAATCCGCTCTTTATGCAATTTGGGCATGTTGGATTCTGCTCTTCACTTTGTTGGGACTGTTGTTGAAGTTGATACTGTCACCTATAATGCTCTGATATGGGGTTTCTGCCAGCGAAACTTGCCAGAGCAGGCCATGGGATGCTTGTCTCAGATGATAAAGAAGGGAATTCCTATTGATATTTGTACTGGTAATATTTTGATCAAGGGATTTTGTGATGTTGGATCGATGGGACATGCAGAACAGGTCTTAAATAATTTAGTCGAATACAATGGTGACAATGTTGATTGTCTTCCTGATCTGATAAGCTTTAACACCTTGATTCATGGCTTTTGCAAAAACGGTATGATGACTAATGCTCTTCAAGTAATGGAAGATGTAAACAAGATGGGTTTACTACCTGACATTATTACTTATAATATTTTACTTTATGGATTTTGCAAGATCGGGAATTTTTCTGAGGCCAAGAAACTATTGAATATAATATGGGAATCACAGTTAGGTGAACAGTCTCTGTCAGATGTGGAAAATATTCAGATCGATGCTAAGAAAACAGGTGTAGCAGTAGTACAACCCAATGTGATTACATACACAACATTAATCACTGCATACAGCACCCCAGAAGTTATGCATGAAGCACTGGCTGTATATCAGGACATGGTTAATGCTGGAATCTTTCCGGATCTAATTACATATACTTCCATTTTAAGTGGCCTTTGCAAGAGTGGAAAGGTAACAGAGGCACAGGCTCTTTTTCAGGAGATGAAGCAAATGGGAATAGAACCTAATCACGTGTCATCCTCAGCTATCATTCATGCTTTATTAAAATGTGGGAATCCATTAGGCGCATTTGCCTTTCTAAGTCAGATGGTGGTTCGTGGGTTATGTCTTGACCTTGTCTTGTATACAGCTATGATGGATGGGCTTTTTAAGGCTGGAAAACCAACAGAGGCTGAAGACATGTTTAAGATGCTCTTAATGCATAACATGAGACCCAATCAAATTACTTATTCTGCACTGATTGATGGTTGCTGCAAATTAGGGAACATGAAGAATGCTGAATCCGTGTTGCAAGAGATGGAGGTTTCAGGTGTTACTCCAAGTGTCATCACTTACTCATCAATGATGAATGGATATATTAAAGAAGGAATCCTTGAGAAAGCTTTCGAATTACTGAGGAAGATGGTGCAGCAAAATGTGGTTCCTAATTCCATAACATATGGTACTTTGATACATGGGTGTGTTATGGCTGGGAAGCAAGAGCTTGGCTTGGAGTTGTACGAGGAAATGAAATCACAAGATTTAGAAGAAAATAAATATATAGTTGATACATTTGTTAATATGTACAAAAGAAGTGAAAAGATGGACGAAGCAATGGATTTGGTTAAGGATGTCATGTCCAGAGGCATATTGCTTGACCGCTTTAACTACACAAATTTGATGGATGGCTACTTTAAGTTGGGAAATGTGTCTGCTGCTCTTCATCTGGCCCAAGAATTCACTGAAAAAGGTTTAGGATTTGATATTGTTGCATTTAATGTGTTGATGAGTGGACTTTTGAAGCATGGAAAGTATGAGCCTGAATCAGTTTATGGTGGTCTGGAACAGTTTAATTTGGTTGCAGATGCTGCTACATACAACACAATGATCCATGCTTATTGTAAGGATGGAAGAGTGGAGGAGGCTCTTAAATTGTGGTCTGATATGAAGGTTGATGGGCTAATGCCCAATAAAATTACCTGTAATATCCTTGTTACAGGATTGTGTAATTTTGATAAGCTGGACAAAGCAATGGATATTCTATTTCAAATGTCAGCTATTGGTTTCTTTCCGATGCCTAGTGTGCACAGAGCTGTCCTTGCTGCAGCTTCAAAGACCAGAAGGGCAAGTGTAATCATGCAGATTCATGAGCAGCTTCTAGACATGGGCCTTGAGGCAAATTATTTAAGCTATAACTCCCTTATCAATGTCTTGTGCAAGCTGGGAATGACAAACAAAGCTTCTACTGTTTTAAAAAACATGAAAAGCAGAGGAATACCAGCTGATATTGTCACTTATAACAACTTTATACTTGGATATTGCAGAAGTAGCCATATAAAAAAGGCCTTTGCAACATATTTCCTATTGCTAAATGAGGGGCTGACCCCTAATATGGTCACTTACAATACTCTGCTTGATGGTGTATTCTCTGCAGGTCTAACGAGAGAGGCAGTGAGATTGATTGATGAAATGAAAGAAAGAGGATTTGTGTTTAATGCTGTGACATACAATATTTTGGTCTCGGGTTATGCAAAGATGAGTAATACAAAGGAGTCAATCAGACTTTACTGCGAAATGGTGTGCAAAGGTTTCATCCCCACGACTGCTGCATACAATACACTTATCCACCAGTTTTCACTGCTGGGAAAGATGAGCCAGGCTAGAGAACTTATGAATGAAATGCAGGTTAGAGGCAGATCACCTAATGCATCAACATATGACATACTCATAAGTGGGTGGTGCAATTTATCCAATCAAGCAGAGCTTGAGAAGATGTTGAAACGATCATATCAAGCTGAAGCCATGAAATTGTGGAATGAAATGACTGAAAAAGGGTTGGTTCCTGGTACAAGCACTATCTCTTCTATCTGTCGCACTTTAGCGAGATCAGGTAAGAAAGCTGCTGCTCTGAGATTAAAGGAACAGTACTATGGAAGAGGTCACGTTACAATTAGTCCAAGCAGCGAGGAGTAGCTTAAATCCATTGTTTTTAGGTTATCCTTCTCACATTGTTGGTCTCTTATCTAAGTTGATGCCTAAATTGGCCACATTGCTGAAGAGAGAACAGCAGAAAGTGCACTATGATACTCCCTCACTCAAGGAGCTCTCTGAGAAAGCCCTCCCACTAAATATTTTGAGTGTCTGTGCTAGTTGGGTGAGGGTTTCCTTTTTTCCTTGAAAGGCTAATCTTCCTCCCTGGTGGAGACTTGAGGAAATGAGGCGCATTTACTGAAATTCAACAACTTCACTATCTTCTCTGTAAGTTAAGCTTTTTTGTACAAGACATTCATATGTCATAAGAGTGTTTTTTTCATTTGTCACTATTTTATAGGTATATGTGCCATGTAATTAGAAAGAAACTATTGCAGATTTAAGCAAACAAACAAATAAATAAATAAATAGATCAAAGTTTTCTCCTAATTTTAATGTCATCTCTATATCGTTAATGATTGTTTTCTGAAACTGACAAGGTTTAGTTAGTATTTTCCCAAGTGATTAAGTTTACAACTCCTTTATGGTATTTATGTAGGTAGACATAGTACTACTGGTTGGCCAGCATAGAGAAGCTTTTTGCCAGTTGAGCAGCCAATCATATTGCTGGAGTTGTATCTGTACAATCTCAGAAAAAGATGCTACAAGTCTCTTGTTGTCTTTGAGAGAGGTCTTCTCATATGAAGTGCATTTATCGCAAACCTTGTTGGTAAGCATTTCGTCTGAGCTCACTGAATATCCCACTTCTGTTATTTTTGTTGATGGAAGCAAAGTGTGGACGATAATTACCACAAATTCCATACGGAATTGCTTAGATTTGCTTCCATTTTTTCTTTTGTTGAGCCCTGAGCTTGTGGTCCTCCTTGATTTTAACCATCCCTCAGGGAATAGAGGCTGCAATGCTGCATTCATAAATATGTCCAGGTCATTTTAATTTGGTGCAACTACTTTTTATTTTATTGAATCATGTTAGAGACTTCAATCCAATGTGTCATGTTTTTGCATCCCCACCCCCCCCCCCCCCCAACCAAAAAAAAAGTCAAGGAGTTGCTCTTATATATTTGACCTGCTTGTTTTCTGCGTACACTCATCATGTAGCTGCTCTTGTAATAAATATTCATAGAATTCAGGATTATTCTGATGGAATGGGTTTGATACCCAGAGGTTTGTGTGTCTATAGGTGAAACATCATCAGTAATTTTATCCAATTGAACTTGTTCTGTGAAAGCAATCCTTCAGAGCCACGGGCCCACAGAAGCACACTTTCGCCTGTCATTTACAAAAACTCATTAAGCTTGTCTGGAGTACCAGAAGAAATATTTTAATGACTCCTTTGATCATTTTGCTGACTAGCCTTTGCTTCTGGAAACTTCTGTTACCATTTTTAACAAGATTGACCATCCTGTAGCTCATAAAAACACAACCCTGCCATTCTCCTTTTGACTGGTTCTTCATTTTGTAGACTCATTGTTGAGAGTCAAAATAGGTGGTTTGTCAAATCAAGGCTCAATTCAAGATCTTGAGAAACTTTTTCTTTGGGGGAAATTTCATAATTTTTAGTCTTGATAGCATAGTGGATCAGTGGATAATAGCATAATACATCATTAGTTAAGGCAGCTGCTTATCTTCTCATATTATCTTTATTATGAATCTTGTAGGAACATGAATTACACTAATGCTTAATGTTGAGGGAATTTATAACCCCCGTATTTTGTTCATATTTTCCAAGTTAGAATCATTGAGCATGGTAAATGTTGAGTGAATATGCATAACATTTTGAGGCAGTGAGCAGTGTGAAGGATTTGGTTTATGATTCCCAAAGACTGTAGTCCTGCTGGACTCAACCCACCTGCCTTGCCTTTTGTCTCAGTTCTCAATGCCCCAACTTTTAAAGTCTGAATACCCAAAAGAGAGGCATGTGGGTGTTAAAAATAAGCTTTAATTATAATTCATGATGTATTGAAAAATAGTGGGTGCTCTGATTTAAGCCACTTATGATTTCATGAAAGTCTATTTGAGATTTATCACCCTTCAATGACATCTAGGCCATATGTTGCTTAGGTCCCAAGCTTCCCTGATGAGTACTGACTATTGTTGGCTTCTGAAAGAATTAAACCTGACCTTTTATAGTTTTATGTGTTTTTCTAGTATATAACCACTACATGATTCTTGGTATGTCTTCTGATGGTAGGGTCACTAATGGAGTTACATGTGAAGTCTCCCATGATGACCTGGCGGTGTATGGGATGACAGTGGGGAAGATAGGCAGAATAAGCACCATTGTGCTTTATCTTCCGTTCTTCACTTAACATCATTTGAGGTATCACTCAATCTACTTGTTCATGAAAAGACTGCTTGGTTTTGTTGAGGATGCTGGTCATCCTAAAATATAGGGACATTTTGAATAAGCATGCATGATTGCTTTTAAATATAGGGTGTGAAAATTTAGAAGCTAATATTATCTTATTCTTCTTGTTTAAGCAAAAAAAAAAAAACTTTTAATGTTAATTAATGTCTCCTTTGTCATTTTATTTATTTATTTTTATTATTTATTTTTATTTTATTTTATTTTATTATTTTTTATTTTTTTTGACTTGCATAATTCATGGTAATCTCCCTAAGAATTGGGAGAATTTTAATGAAAACTTCTGCAACAGATACTAGTCTAGATTGTTCTATCTAATGACAGATGTCATTGTTACCGAAAGTACACTTATTGTATCTTTGATCTTTTGCATAGAGAAGCAATGGACTAGTCTATGATTATTAAAAGTGATTTAAGTTTCAAGAAGCAATACAATCTGAAAAGCACATCAGTTTTATTTTTCCTTGTAAACTTGTATTTCTATTGCTACTGGTAGTCGTAGCAGATAAGCATTTGTGTGTGTTCTTTGGCTGCTCAATTACTCACTAATCTCCTTTATTCTAGAATATAGGAAGGCGGCCCTGTAGAAGACATTGCTTAATTATATGTTTCAATGATCAACAACAAGCTGCACAAGGAGTTTGCTGATTTCGTCGTGATTAAGGTGATATTGCTGGAGGGAGCCTGATTACATTTTGAAGCTTCCACAGGGAATATTATTTCATTACGGAAACTTGCATATGTGAATGTGAAGTTAGCTTTTCATTAGTGCATGTATAGAACATATTATTAAGGCTACATCAACATGGTAGCTTATGCTTGATTTAATGTGTCGAGAATTTTGTACTTTGTATTATACAGAGCACAATATGCATCAATTAACCGACTCAACTGATTGATAATTGAATACAATTTTATGCTATTCACACCGTCATAAGTCATTTAGAAAACCTTTCTTACAAAATAAAGAAAATACTCTATCAAACACATATATTGTAGTTGTACACAGACATTTTCCGTATACACCTTTTGTCCCATTAGGATTGCCCTGTTTAAATTGTTTAGGACTCTCTACATCTAGGAAATCTATTACGGGGTAAAAAACATAGAAAATCAAAATTTACTTTTATTGAAACATCAACCTAGGAGGCTGGCTTAAGCTTTTCAGGAACCAAAGCATAACCGCACTCTATAACTCAAATGATTATTCAAGGTTACAGAAAACAGCACGGGGCTCAGTGAAGTCTGTTTAATCAAATTTGACTTCTGCAATAATGGATTTCAACATGTTATAATGGAACATACAAGAAAGAATTTATACAAAATTTGTATTCTAACACTTATAAATAGGAAAAAATTAGCATGAGAAACACCTCAGCTATAGTCTCGAGCAAGGATCCGTCTCGAGCAAGTGTCCTAACAATAACATTCTACCAGAATGTCACATGGCATCAACTACTTCACGATAAACTGAAACTGTTCCTGTTCTTCCTAACCTTCCGATCCATCAAAAAATTATCCACCCAAAAGCCTCTGTAAAAACCAGCAACATAACATTAGCAGAATTCAACAGAGCTGCCCTTGGACCAATTCATGAAGAAGCAGAACAGATGCAAATTACACTACAAAGCAGTCTTTAGATCGATACCCAAATGTAACAGCATCAAGCATCAGCAAGCTTCAACTCTTGCGAAGATTGCGGAGATTGATCATCTTCTGTCACCGTAGCTTCCTCACTTCACAATAAGGATGGTACACAATGAGAAAAACAAATCATCCAATGGATTCCTCCAAGTATGAAGAAAAACAATCCCCAAAAATACCATTGCAAATACACATAATTACGGCTTGATATTAGCAAAATAAAAAATAATAGACATTGGCTGCAATTTACAATATGTGATTGGTAAATAAGATTGTGAAATCATATTTTTAATTAAATTAAAAAAAAAATTAAAAAAACTCACAAAAGCCCTTATAACTCAATTTGTAGAGTACTTTTATGCCTTTCCAAGTGCACATAATGGAAGTCTATCTAGCTGTTTAGTTCTGTTTCTTGCAAAATTATTCACCAAACTCCTAAACTCGGAAGTTTGGCACATGTTCTCGTTCTTCCTGCTCTCTCCAGACTATCTTTACGGAATTCCCAATACAGATTTATAGTTCGTCCTTTAGTTTGCTTACTACCAATCTATACTATATTTCCTGAAATTATAATCAACTCCATCACGCTTCAGAAATAAACAGAAAACCTATCTGGCAATGAGAGTAAAGAAATGGTGCAAAAACAAATTAAATAAATTACAAACTCTGAATTGCCTGAAAACGGAATAACTTGAAGGTTGAATTACCCCATTTACCAAACTATTTGAACTCAGACAAACCTAGAAGTTTAAACCTCAACTTGAGAAAACTGATAATTAAATATAGTCTCTTCCTTCCTTGATTTATACTGATTCTTCTGTGGTGGTAAAAATGCCTACACATTGGAGACTATGCTGATGATGAATGTGCCAGCTCGGATGATGACTAAGCAATTCTGTTATAACAGAATTGATCATGTAATAAGTGTGTCAGTTAGTTACAGCTAGCTCTAGAATATATACTTGTACTTCAGCATATTTCATTATTCATTCAATAGATTTCCTCCTCCTTCTTCTCTCTAGATTCTATCTAGATTTTCTCTCACTAAAATCTTGCTGTACTTCACTGTAAACTTCAATAGAAACTAAGTTCAAACTTCTACAGTACAGCTATATAAACAACCTTTTAATTTATCAAGGACTTCCAAACAATGAATTGTGTTCTGCATTATGCCAAAATATCATTATGGGAAACAATTAATACTCCGATGCTATCCCATAATCCAAATACCTATAAAAAAAAGGCTAAGGCTTCTATCTAGGACATGGTAAAGGGGGCTGGATACATGTAGGGTTGTACAATAACAAAGAAGTGGTTCCCAATCTTCCCATAAATTGTTATTACAGCATACGTCAATATCTATACCATTTGGGACTTTTACCACAAGGAAACTCAATCTAAATTCCCATCTAATATAGAAAGACAGAAATAGAAATCTAAAGCATAACACTATAGCATATTAGCGTAGCAACATCCCAAACTTTATCCACTAAACTCAGATATACAGCACATAATCTGATTCTTTCAATTCTCTCCAAACTATCTTCACATGATCATCATATACCAAATACTTCCCCCGTTTCTTTTTACTTGACCCATAGCCTTTGGCACAATATTTAAGGAGAGGAGAGAGAAATAGTATGTGGTGCACATGGTTCACCTTATTACCCTCAAATGTTGTCCTCCACATGCACTTTATGAGGGTATTTAGATAATTTGTTTACCAAAAGCTTACCAATTATAGTATGGGTCAAGTAATATGACATTTCCATTTTAGGAATGTTAGTCATGTAAATAGAAACGGAGGAAGTATATATTTTGTACAAAACTACCATGCTACATGAATCTTCAATCATTAATACATATTTAGCTTTCTAGTTTGTTTGCTCCGAGCAAATCTACCTCCTTGGGTTCAATTCATATTTAATATGCTTCAACTTCAATCAGAACATGTGTGGCAACAGAAGTTTTATACAGTGAAAAAAAAAATACAAACATACCTACATTGCCCAATGCCCAGTTGTCCACAAACAACAAATTTTCCCAAAATTTAGACAATCTGATAAAGAAATTCTTAAGAAATCTAGGGGAAAACCACTCCTCTTACCTCTACAAACCTAGTATACAAATTTCCCCGATCCTCTGGCCAGCAAATTAACTTTGTCTTATAATAACCTCTCATCAGTCTCATGGCGTAACCCAAATTAATTTTTTCTCTACAACTATATCTAAGGCTAATATATTCGTCACTTTTGATCTGTTTAAGTCTAATATCTTGCTCAAATCATTAATCTGTACTATTGCAACCCTATCCTTCCATGTCTCCATTTCTTATAGTATCCCCCTCCACAAAACAGACAGTAACTACTACAATCCATTTGATTAGCTAGAGTCATTAACTCCAATTCCATATTAGTTTGCGACTACATTTAGATACTGGAACATGAGAATAACAGACTCTTTAACATTTTCTTTTCCGAAACAGCAAGCATTGCTCTAAAATTTACATACTACAGCTATATATCATTATAAAAACACATACTCCAGTCTTTTAAGATCCAACACCAAAATATTATTATTCTAAAGTGCAAAAATACTATGATGTAGCAACATCCCGAATAGGTATAAGCATTCATCAATCTATGAAGATAGTATCAACATTTCAATACATAGAAGAAACCAATTCAAAATATAGTTATATAGGTTATGTTTGCCTTGTTAGTTAAGGAAAAATACGTTTCTAAAAAAAAAATTATACTACAAATTCCTTGCATTTGGTTTGTCAAATAGAGAATAATTTTCTGCAATCATAAATAACTCTACCAAGGTGACTATTAATTTTTAACCTTTACTCAAGAATGGATTATCAAACTTACCATTGCATGTTTTTCTTCCTTCTAAACCTCTCTCCACGCCTCAATCCCCTGCCCCTAGGCTATCTAGCTTCTACCCTCCTCTCTCCACGCCTCAATGGAATATAAGTTTGAATATAAAATTCCACTCAAAATATATCCAAGGAACTAAAACACAACCATGAGCTAAGTCAAGTTTGTTTCATCAAGTCCAAAGTAAGTCCCCAAAACCAACTTCCATTACGTCGATTCACAAAAAGATTTCTTCCCAAACTCTCCATAATCAGAAAACCCAACTCAAATACAAAGCCCCTCATCCCCAAGTTCCCCCCCCCCCCCCCCCCAAGAAAAGGAACCAAATTTGATCATTCCGCGATAATCAATCAGTTAGAGAAAGACGACCACAACACCAATTCCTCAAATCCCACAAGTTTTTCTTTCTGGCCACATTCCAAAAATTTCTCCAAAACGAATTTGCCAAAGTTTCACAAACAATGCAAGCAAAATTCAATTGTCTACGATTTCAGCATACCAAAATTGATCACACAAACACAATGACTACCCTAAACAATTTCACAATTCTCAATTCAATTCAAATTAATACAAACGAGGTAACGATTATCTTACCCCGGTGAAGCATCAGTAGCAGAAGCATCAGTACCCGAAGCATCACCCAAATTCAAATTCTTCTGTTCAAGCAAGAAAGTCTTAGTAATCAAATTACAAACCGTATAAACAAACTGAACAGAATCATTACACGGTATCGGGTACGTAATTTTCTCGAAAACCTCCCTCGGAACACTCGAATCAACCAACCCAATAACCGGAATCTGAAGCCGAGCAGCCTCATTAATCACAGACGACTTCCTCTCAAAATCCGTAATCACAACACAATCAGGAGGTTGAGCAGGAGCAAAACAAATCTTCTTATTCCTAGACCTAAACTTTTTAGGGCTAGAAGAGTTCGTCAGAAAACCCCCTAATCGCCAGTACTGAGCTTGAGGAGAGAGAAAGGAACCATGGCCGATCTTGCGAGTCATATGATCGAAAATGTCGTCGAAAAGGGGGTTAGTGTTGACGAAGAGGAATCGAGCTTTACCGCGAACAAGGTGGGAGATGAAATCGAGGGCATTGCGAAGGGATATTAGGGTTTTGTCGGAATCGATGATTGAGGCTCCATTGCGACTGCCATAGATGAAGGGCTTGCAATGGTGGGCGGTGATGCGGCGGCCGAGATGGGCGTTGGTGCTTAGAAGCTTCTGGATTACCACTGAGTGAATTGACATTTTGGAGAAGAAAGAACAAGTGAGTGTGTGTTTTTGTGTTGTGTTTGTAGTTGAAAATGGAGGGTTTTGGGTTTTGTATACTTTGATTTCTCTTTTGCAATGTTTGGGGTGGGATGGACTAGAACAGTAGAACACATGTATGAGTGTATCAGTGTATGACTTCCTATAGGGTTATTGGATCGGGTTTTGGGTTCGGGTGCTTGCGATGTGGAAATCGGGTATCAAGTTTTTAAGTGGGTTCGGATAGGAAAGCTTTTAGCGGTGAGGGAGAGGGAATTGGATGGAGAATATTTTTATTTAAAAAAAGAATACACATCATTATGTATATGTGAGCCTCACATACAGTGGCGGACCCACTTGTAGTCATGGTGGGTTTCAGAACACACTATTATTTTATATATATAAAAAAATCGAAAATATAATAAATTTACGTAGTACTAATTACTGAAGACTGAAGGAGACATTGTCTGACAAAAAATAGTGACTACTCCCTAACCCCTATTCCCCTAAGTCATGTGAATCCAACCAAATAACAAGTAATTAAATTTTTTTTTTTTTTATAATTTATTGAAAGGAAACAAAATAATCAGTCATTTTCTCTCTCCTTACAAAATTAGTACCCACCACAACGTTCACAAGCTTCGTCGAGACGCCGACCATCAATGTCGAGAAGTCAGACCCCTCAACGCCGGCTGACGACCTCCGTGAGACCGTGACTCCGCCTGTCTTTTTTACTATCCGATTGTCCCCTACTCCCCTCTATAAACTAATTAATCAGGTAATTTACTAACTTTAAATCCCTAATTTTTAAATTCAAATTTGGGTATTTTAATGATTGTTCTTGACTTCTTGCTAAGTAATTCCTAATGCTAATTGTTTAAAAGCTTTATATTGTTGTTCTTATCAGTTTATAAATGATTATTTGAAGGTTTTGCTTTAGTCTTTACTATTTAAAAATTTGGATTTATTATTTGTTCTAGGGTTTTTAATTGATAGATTATTTACTGTTTTAATTGTATAGCTGTTATTCATGAATGGGATTATGGGAATTAACGTTGCAATTTACATTGAAATTATTGGTCAATTGAGATTTGTGAATTGAAGTTCATTTATTTTATTTAGATGGTTCTATACTTTAATACTTATATGTTTTAGTAGCAAACTAGCAAGAATGATTTAGATTGATTAATCTAATTCAACCTTTAACTTCAATTTCAGAATGAAAAGAAAAACAACTCGAGATATATCAAGTCTTTTTACTAAAAAAAAGTGTACTTTAAATCCTCCCCCTCCACAAAATGATACTCCTCCTCCACTAAATGATCTACCTCCTCAAGAAAGTGAACCAAATCCTTCTTCACTATAAGAAAATGAACAAAATTCCCAAGAAAGTGAACCAAATACACCTTTACATCATGCAAGTGAACAACATTCTTCCCTATCTCACAATTTCCCTCAAAATGAAGATGGCCAATCTTTTCCCCAAGGTGGTTCGAATCCTAGTGCTCAAATTGATGAAGGAAGATTAAGTGCACTTGATATTGTTAATCTTCCACAAGACCCCGGTAAAAGAAGAAGGATGTGTGATTTTCATCCCGATAATAGGGATTTGGTGCGGAGAACATACATTCAAAGAAAGCCATGTCAACCTAAAGATCATGTGTTTCCTCAAACACTTTTCGGGCCAAAAAAATGTCGATTTTGTGTTAAATGGTTTGATACTTGGCCAACTTTGCTTTAGTATAGTGTAGAGAAAGATGCTGCCTTTTGTTTCATTTGCTATCTATTTAAGGATGGTAACACAGCGGGAGCCCACTACAAAAAAAAATGAGAATAGGCAACACTTAAGATTGCAACACTTACATAAACTAGTTGTTGGCCCGCGCGCTACGCGCGCGGTCCCCCAACGCTATTTTGCCGTCGTGATTAGTGTGTAATTAGTAGTAGTTTTTGTGTTAATGTAGTTTAATTTTATTAATTGATAGGTTAGGTGTATGTTAAATTTTAAAAGGCTAGGAGTTAGTAATATTTTGTCAATGTTTATAAATATTTCTGTTGCTTAATACGAACGCCTTCTATAGTAGATTAATTCGGTATAATAAAAACTCCCGTAGTTTAGTGTTGTTAATAAAAACTCCCGTAGATTAATTCAGTATTATTGTTGTGCAGGTGATCCCAAATATGAGCATTTGAAACAGCTGGACAAAGCATCAGAGAAGTTGAAGCTTTTTAAGGCAGATTTACTTGATTATGATTCGGTTGCTGCTGAGAAGATCCCTTCAACTTTACTATAGTACTATCTAGTGATAAAATAGACAACATTACTCTTAAGTCGTATTCTTAATCTAGCAACCATCATAACCAACATATTTGTGCATATTGTATATCATTTAAAGAATCAATTGCAGTCTTTGTATGATCCTAGCATTAGAATCAATTTAAGTTCGGTAACTTGCAAAATACGATAATCGAATGTAAAGAATTGTCTTTGTAAAAATAATTACAAGGTAATATTGTAACTTTACACTATTTAATCTTAAGATACAATTTCTTCTAATGATATGTAAAACTTTTTTTGCTATTAGCCATCCAACGTGCAAAATCCTCCAAAATTAAGTTGGTCGATAGGAGATGATCTACTTTTATGGAATATTATTCCATTTCTTTGATGTAGACACCAACACCATTGGCTTTACCGGCCAATTTGGTTTTTATTTAGGTGTTTAGTTGTCAATTTTTAAGTGATTTTATTTACTGACAACCCACCTAAATAAATATATATGTGTGTACGTATTATGGAAAATCTCTAAAATTATAGATTTTCTCATATTCGCACACTTCTCCCAAGTGTATTTGTTGGAGTTGGATTCATCTGATGGAAATTAATTCCATTTCTTTTATATAAACACCCACTCCATTTGCTTCAATGCATAACTTGGGATTTATTTATACACTTTAATATTAATATGTTACTTTTGCAGTGAATTTAACCACCGGTAACATAATTATATTAAAATGCATTTTAAGGGAATACATTACCACCAACTTTGGTGCTGATTCCCTGTTTTACCACGAACTTCGCTGCTGATTGTGTTTTTATGTATAGATGGAATGGTATTTTTATGAATGCTGAAATTGTTTTTTGGTTTATAATAGGAAGGTGAAGTTGATATTTTTTGGTAATTATTGTTTGAGGCATTTTGTAAGTTAGGATGATAAGGAATTTGTGTTTTTATTTTTGTAGAGAAGTTTTGGTTTCTATTTGTTTTGCAATGTGTCGGAATGAAGTATTTTGCATTTGTTCATTCACATGTTGAGTCCTATTTATAGTAAGAAAATGCTTTTTTTTTTAAAAAAAATAAATTTTGTGATGAGAATTTTGTTTTGTAGTGCTTTTATTTGTGCTTTTTCAAATGCTCTTTATTAGATTGTATTTATGGTGGTTAAGTAGTTTTGTCTATCTGATTTTGATATGAATTAAAGAAGACTTTTTATTCTAATTATTATTTTAATTTAATCTATATTAGTTTAATTAGAATTATAATTAGAATTAAACTAAATATTGTAAACTTTTTTATGATTTAGAAGGAAAAATAAATAAAACTATTTGTTAAGCATAATTAATATTTTTTAGACTAAATATTGTCCGTATTCAACTTAAAGTTCCATGAGATATATATGTGTTATTAGGATTAGTTAGATTTAAGCTCGCTAATGATTAAGTGTATATTATGTTAAAATAATGTCTTATTATTGTCTTGCTTGGTAAATTAAGGTGCAAAAAATTAGTAATCTGGAAGTAATGGCACTTGTTATCTAAATTAGTGATGGCGCTTGTTACTAAATTAGTAATGGCACTTGTTACTCCAACTATTAAAAGGTATTGGTTGTGTGAAATCAAATGCTTGGTATTGTTGCTTTGATTTTTTCTGTTTAAGGTGCACATGGCAACAACTTTAAATGTATGGTGGAAGATAAATTACAATGGATGTCTTCTCTGAATAAGTGCCATGCATGCTTCTTTCTTGCATTACAGTATGTGTTTAAAGCAATGAAATGGAATCTTTGTTGTAGCTTTGTTGACAAGATTCTGTAAAGCTGAGCCTTATCAACAAACTAACAATAATAATTCATTCTTTATTGTAGTAGGACATTCATAATCGGATTAGATGATATTCATTGCAATCATTCACCTAAGTAGGTTGTCCAGCATATGAAAACTAATTAGTGTTACAATAGATGATAATTAGTGCTACAATAGATGATAATTAGATGATGTAGCACTAACCTGTAGCACTAAATTCACCTTATAATCTATAGTAGGTTAGTAGCTTGACAGGCTACTGTTGAATTTATTTACAGTTACTGCTGAATTTTCTTGCTTTATTCATATGCTGGAACGCTTTATATATTGCTGATGATGCTACTTTGATATGTCAGCTACTTTTGTAGTGGCTGAATTTATATTGCTTAGCTTTATATAGAGTGGTGAGATCTATGTTATAGTAAAATTGGTTAAGTAACATCAATGTTTTAATTTGAGTATTTATCTTGTATTTATTTTTCAGTTTGTACTTTGACAAATTCCAAAGGAGTTATTGTATTTGTGTTTTGATTAATAAGTATATAAGTTTGAAATTGACTGAGCAATTTTCATATATGTTACATGAATAGTCAAGTTTTCTATTATCTATTTTCAATGCATTTAATTTATAGTCAATATGAAAGTCCTATTCTTGATGTAGTTATACATGTGTTTAATATATAGTTAATAAGCTGTTATAAATGTGGTCAATATTTATCAATATTATCTTTAATTGGAATTACTGTCAATGAGATGTTTTTCATACACAATTTACTAACTGATGTACTATATATGTTCAGAATTATTTAGTTCTGTATTAGTTTTTTATGCAGTTTCTATTGTAATGTGCAAGTAATTGAAGCAAAGTTTTGTGATAAGGTGTTTCAAAGGCTTGATTATTTTATATTTTTTGTATTTTACTATGTTTTTTTATGCAAATTTTTACAAAATAATTCATTTAGATTGAAATTGGCTGAAATTTCTTAAAGTTTGTTTCTGTAAATGTTAAATAACAACTTCATTCTATTTGATATATATGCTTGCATTCTAATTATGAATTAATTCTTTTGATTACAGGAATTATGAGTCTATACACAAATTTACCTTCTCATTTGCTGTTTTTCAAAGATGAATATCGTAAAGAGTTGGTATGAAAAAAACGATTTGTTTAAGATGTTTTTGTTTCCTGTTCTTGGATATTTATCAATGATAATTTTGTTTTTCCTAGGTGTTTTTATTTCTTGGATTTAGATTTCAATAGAATTTTTAAAATTTATTTTGTAGGAGTTACCGGAGAGTTGGACATCTATGTTAACTGGTGTATCTAGTCCAGTGGAAGTCATTCGTGGCAGCAATAGTCGTGTATGGACTGTTCAGTTGCTGAAAGTGACAGAGCATAGTAAGGAATTTATGCTATTAGACTTTGGCTGGGAAGGGTTTGTCAATGATAATCGAATTTATGAAGGTGAAATCCTTATCGTATATTATGGTGGGAATAGGAGATTTTATGTAAGAATATTTTCATCGTCGATGGTGGAAAGGTTTGGTTCTCTGGAACCTTTACATAGGTCTATGTCAAGTAGTGGAATTGGTTCTTCTAATGTTGATTTTCTTGCTGACCTAGGAATTGGGAATCAGCCATGGTTCCCTTGGGTGATTACACCAACATGCTATGAAGAAGATACCTTGGTTAGTATCTTAATCTATTTATTTAAGTTATGAATATAAAATTTTAAATAAGTGATCTTATTGTACAGAATGCATTTTATGTGTTACATGTGCAGGAAATTCCAGTAGCCTTTGGTAATTAGGTGTTTGATCATGTCAATATGCGGACTGAAATTCAAATGCGATTTGGAGATAGAAGATGGGATTCTGTTGTCGAAATTTGTTCCCGATTGAATGGAAACATTCATAGTAGGATAATGAGTGGAATTTCGCAAGTGATTGCAGATGGTCAGTTAGAATATGGGAAAATCGGAATTGTATTTTTGCAGAGCAATGATCCGATTGTGCTTGAGATTGTGTTTCTTTAGATGTTGATTTAGTGATAGGTTATAGTAACGCTTGAGAAATGGAGCTGTAATAATAAATGAAGATTCAAGATCTTCTACAATGTAATGTTTTTTATGATAATAAACTATGCAGAGGGTGAGCTCCCTAATTAACTTAATCTGTGAAATCAGTTTTATTTAAATATCATTATTTATGTTCTACATTTTTTGAAGATTAGTGAATAATAATTTATACTACTGTTAAACAGATTTGTCCTCTTATTGCATTATGTTTGTTGTTTCAGCTTTTATCATGCCATTGAAACTTTTACAGCATATCAGCTCTTATTTTTTTTTTTTAACAATTTCACATGGCTACAGGTTTATAAGATGTTGACACTTTAATGACATACTGAATTTGGCAGAATTGGTAATTTGTGTAATTGAACCGTGTCATAAGTTTTCACTTTAAAAATCAATCAATGTAAGCAAATCTGATTCAATTACAGTAGTTGCTAATTAGTAAAGGTAGAAGAAGTGGAATTTTTAATATAGCTTTATAAAATAGCTAATGGCATCTTATTTATTAGTTGAATGTAATTAAAATGTTACTTTTTTATTGTTTGCTTTTATATGTTATATGTATAGTACTCAAGGTACAAAGTTGGATTCTATAAGTAATCACTGGTTTTTACTTTTATTTTTGTGTTGCTTATAAGATGGTTATGTTTAGTTATTTATTTATTATATATAGAGGTGTAATATGCTTGGAAATTTTAGCTTAGTTGTTGTCGTAGAATTCCTGAGCTAGGAATAATGGTATTGGATCTAAAGGTTTCTATATCTTCTAAATTAGGTTTATATTTATTTCTGTTTGTTGTATTTAATTGGAATTTATTTTTGGTTTTAGGACTGCAATTATCCCTTAATGGAGTGGGTTTTAAAAGTGGAAGAAGAACATCAAGAAGTTGTGGTATAATTCTACTTTTTAAGAGATGAATGATAGAAGAATATTTATTTCTTAGACTTGTTTACAGCTGCTGATTGTTTGTTTTTGTATAGGAGATTCCGTCTTTGTTTTATCATATTTTAGCACATCGGTGTGGAGGCTTTCGAATTTATCGGGGCAATAATGGAGTCTCATGGAACATAATTATTTATAAAACTTGCATTGACAATCAGATTACGGGTATGTATATTGATGCAGGGTGGAAGGAATTTATGTCAGATAATGATATCGTAGTAGGAGATATTTTGGTAATCTATTTTATGAGTGATTTTGTTTTTCACTCTAAAATTTATACTTGTGATGGAGTGGAGAAGACTCATGTAAACATCCCTACTGCTGTTACTATTCCTATTCGAAGAAGGCTTCCCCTTAGTATTGGGAAAATGGATGCACATTTAACTCAAATGCAGGAAGAATGTCCTGAACCGTCGTTTAAGTATGTATTTGATCGTCATTCTATTCAGCAAGGCATAATTGTAAGTACTGTGTTGAATTTTAAGTTTGTTGAGAGTATTTTGTGCTTAAAAATTATGACATTGTCTTATTTATTTGTGCAGCTTGTTCCTGTGCCTTTTTCTAGGGTTCATTTTCATGATATGGATTCGTGTATTATGGCTTTATTATGCCATAGAAAGAAATAGTGGCATGTTGAGCTTCAGTTAATGAAGGAGAACAATTTGATTACTTATAGTTTATTGAAGAACGGTGTAAATTGGTTCTATGAAGATCAGGCTATTGTTGATGGAGTTGGGGCCATAATTGTTTATCGACATGGGAACCCTATTTTGTTTGAGTTGATGCTTGGACCAGTTTAGGCATTTAGGTTTAATATGTTTATTTAGGATGTAATATATCTAATAATTTTCTAATGTTAATGGCTTCTGTTTATGTGTGCTTTTAACTCTTTCCTTGTATCCGTTGTTTTGACATATTATATAAAAAGTTCTTTGATTGAATGTGAAAGTCAAAAGTTTTAATATATTTTGAGATTCCTTTTGTGTTCTTTGTAGCTTTTGTATTTTATATCTTGAGCAGGATAAATATCATGAAGGTAAAAAGTATATGAATAGCAATACATTTCTACATTTTCTAATAGATATATTATAAATATTTTCACGTATATATATATATATATATATATATATATATATATATATATATATATATATATATATATATATATAATATATATATATATATATATATATATATATATATATATATATATATATATACACACACACACATATTAGCACAGCAGTACATAATAACATAATTTAAGTTGGGTGTTTGCCTGGAACACTTACTATTGTTAGTGTTCCTGGGAAACCCCTCAAAATATATTTGTCTGCAGCATCTAATTCCTATATACATGAGATTCTAGACATAAAGCAGAGATTTAATTTTATGTGATCGATGCTGGAGTTCTACATAAGATATTTGGGCAACTATGTGCTGTACTGATAAATATTTTTATACGCAGTCTCAGCAGAAGCAAAATGTTAATAGCTGCCCATATACTTATAGCCTAGCAAAAGGTTTAATATTCAAAAGAGGTGCAGATAGTGCACCTTAGGTAGATGATGTTCAGTGCTTCAGTAATTTACTACATATTTCCTTAGTCTTTGAACTACTAAGTCTCCTTGGTTGAAGTGTCTGATGGTGTTTTCTTCACCTTCTCTGTCTTCACTATCACAGGTGTGTCTAGCTTTTGTTGAGGCTGCGGAATCTGAGGTACATCATCGATACCCTCTCTTCCTAGAGAAATTCCAGGGTTTTGACCTTTGGTGTGGTTTTTTTGGGTCATTCCCCCAAAGCAAAGTTTTTTCTTGGCACCGGTTTGTGATGTCTGCAGTTCCAAATCGGTTTCCTGATCTCCGGATTCCATAGGGCTTTTCCCTAATGATTTTTTGCGCTTAAGATTTTCAGCACTTTCCTGAGGTGATGTAGCTATTTCAGTGTAAATGCTTGCCTCAGTTTGTTCCTCTGAAGATTTCTTCATTTTTGGAGTTGGAATAAATGGCTCAGATGGTCCAGATACAACGGTATTTTCTGAATGCTTCTCCATTGAATCTTTTCCTTGATCAGTATTGGTTACAGTGTCTTGAATGTTTTGTTCTGTGTCAAGACTTTCTTTGAGCTCAATTGTTTTAAGAGTCCACTCTAGCACATTATTTTGACCTAAGTGTCGAGTAGGCCCTACTTTAATATAGAACGGAGTGCTGCTCAGCATGTCTTGAATAGCTTTGAAAGCGTCTTGATCAGCCTGTATTGATATTTTAGAATGGTTAGTAACAGAATGTACTCAAAATAGTATTCTTTTTCTTCTTTCTATTTTCTGTTCTTGTTTTTTTTCCCTTTTTATTCTGGTTCATCTATAAAGTTTTGATGCACAAATTTGTTTTGTATCAAAATCATTATAATCAATTAATGTATGGTTTAATTGGATTAAGAATATGTTTATTTTGAATTATAATTAGTGTGAATCATATGTTTTGGTGCAGTAGTTGTAAGTTATAGTGCATGTGTAAGTTTGACTAAAAGATTCAACTCACCGCTTCTTTTATGGCGTAGATTGTAGCTGCTGTTTTTCTGAACAATCTTTCTGTGTCATCATTGAATGTTGTGAAGGCCATTGTTCCTATGTCATCTCTAGCTTCAAATTTGAAAGTTATCCTGATATAATTTTAAATAATATCTGTTAGTAGTAGCAGCTAGAAATGAAGCTCGATGTAAATGTTTGCTGATACTATACCTCTCAGTACTGATGTATTCCTTATTTGAACATGCAACACAAGAATAGCGTTTCTGCAAAGGAAGGTTGGTGCGTTTCCAGCAGTTTGAACATCCAGTATAAGCATTCACCTTTTCTAGTTCTGCGTTTTCAATGGTTACTTCGATCCAGAGGACTTCTTCTTGTAAGGTGTTGCTAGGCTACATTTACAATATAATTGATGATGGTTTTGGTAGTGTCACAATATTAGATTAACTGTGAAGTTATTGAAATAGATTATAGTGCATGACTTTTTACCTTTTTCTGCCTGAGTTCAGCAATGGATAGTATTTTCTTGTTTTCACTTGGATATCTGATTTCTAATACCCTTGCTTGTCTATCCACTACCCTTTGATAGAAAAGGTTAGCCCTTGCAAAATAGTAGTAGTAAAGAAGATTATTTATGTATAGAGCAGTTTTTTAATAGGTTTAGTTTAAGAAATTACCAGTCAGACAGAACAGTTGCTCGATTTCCCTTGGGTTCATATACTATTCGAGTGGACATACCAGAATTCATTGAAAAGCCTATTTGCAGCATGTAGTAGTTAATTATTGATAGCAATGAATCATTTACGTAGCTAAACTATAATAATTACTGTCTTACCACAGCGAGTATTTGGCTTCAGAGCCCTGAAACCATTAACCTTAAATGTTTCTGCCCAATTTGATAGCTTATCAAAATATTTTGGAGCTGTAAGGTCATTCCACATTGAGATGGTAAGTGGTTGATCACAGCTGTTACAAAAACATGTATTTGATAAGGACTCTAATATACAGCTTTTATAAGGAAATGTATATGGTGTTTACACCTGAACAATTATTTTAATGAGAATGAACCTTTCATCAGTGATTACTATTTCGCGGACCAAGCTCTCTCGCTTTCCCTCCCTGGGTTCAATTTTTCTTGGTTCTTTTTCTACAAATAATACGACACCCACTACATCTGCCATTTACAAAAAATTCTATTAGTGGTTCTATTTTTTAATTCTAAAAGCACATTGTTAATTTAGAATATTATACCATATTTTTCATCAGGATCTACTGCACTAGGTATACTTACTAGTGGCTTATAGTCAGGTAGAACTGGTCCAAGTTCTGGATGAATAGGCTGAATAACAGTTCTACTACCAAAAGTCATTTGGTAAGGAAACTGATCGATCTCAGTTCTCCATTTTTCATCTATGAACTTAATTGGTGCAGTAGAAATGTCGTATTCTCCTAGATATTGTAATGCATCTTCAAAAGCTTCAATTTGATCACCAAATAAAGTACCACGCATCCTATTACCCTACAATATGCATAACATTAAACAATTTCAATTTGCACATTTATGATAATACAGTGGTAGGTCGAAGGTGGTAAGTATATATACCCTAATTTTAAGTAAGGAGAATAAAATCTGTTATTTTTCCCGTCTAAGTTAGTGTTAATTTTGTGAGGCAATGTCTGTACTTGTGAACAATAAAGTGATAACAAGATTGTTTGTAAAGATTCTAACACTATTAAGTCATATATATCATCATTGTAAGAAGAAGTCTTTAACAAGATGCTTATAATTAATTTCTGTTTTTTTTCTTGTATCATTAGTACCTATTTATTTTCTATTTAAAAAAACCTTGCTTGAAAATGTTTGAAATATAGCATGAAATATATTATGGGCTGTAAAATTCTAATTATGCATGCAGATGTATTTTTGTTTTAATTATAATATTTCAACTATTTAAATGACTTAAACAGAATTAAGTTGCTTTATAGTATTTCTAAGTAATTTACTACACAGTTCATAATTTTGTTTGATATAGGTTAGATTACAGCTAGTCATGCTTTAAAATATAAATAATGTAACAATATGAATCTTTTTTACAGTATATTCTTTCAATTTCAATATGAAAATTGCAGATCTAGGATGCAATGATATCTAAAGCAATAAATATATACCTTTTCATCTTTAAGAAGTAAAGTTTGGAATCTAACTGCTTTTTTTTTGGAAGATAGTATGTCCCTTCCCTTCTCAGCAACAACCACTCTTACTATATAAGCTTTGCTTGCTGCATTTAATTGATTCAAGTACACATATTCTGGCTTTTGTCTGACTGCTTTGTATTTGTGTTCTGTTGAAATAAATGTTTCCAGAGAAATTTGTTTAGAACTAACAGGTAATGTAAGTGTATAATTTTAGAACAAACAATAGCTAGTCTAAATAGGAAATCATATTTCAAAGAATTTCAGTTAGAAAAAAAGGCAACAAGCTAATAAAAATATAAAGCAGACAACAATTTGACAGAAAGAACTATACCTTCCATGGCTAATGTGCTTGCTGTAAGTTTGATCTTTTGAGTGAAAAAAACGAATGTTAGGATTGCATTTAGTTTGAAATTACTTAGGACAGAGTACAAGAATAAAAAATGCAAAACAGTGATGTAAATAATAAGCAGACTAAGGAAAAGCTTTTTTTTTCAACTTTACTGTTTACACTGTGCAACCCATACCTGTGAAAAAGAAGTGCAACCCATACCTGTAAGGTACTTTATGTACCTGAAATAATTTTTTAAAACTTTGTAGAAAGTAATTTTTCATTTAAATAATAGAGTAATGGTAGTTTTTTTTATGCAGTACATATGAATTTATCACAGCCACAATTAGGCAAAAGAATGGGGAACAATATTGCTATTTTTAAGGAATTGGATTTTATACATTGGCAAAAGCTAAAATCAAATTACAGATATTGCATAGGTTTTAACAATTTCTTATCTTTTTTATTTTTAAAAAGAAAAAAAGTCATACAAGTCATTTTAATATTCTGATTTTTAAGTATATACATATAACTTACAAAAATTTGAAAAAGCATACTGGTTTTTTTATTTTTTTTATTAACTTAAACCTAAACAATTTGTTGCTTTGGCCACATCTAATATTTGCCAAATACATGTTTTTGTCTTCATTAAATGCTACCTGAAATATTAATGAAATGAATTGTCAGCATAAACACAATTTCAAATTCTACTTAGTGCATATAAGATATGTAATTTACCTTAATAAAGTCATGTCTTGGTATGTGCTTTTTATAGGTGGCTTCCTAATAAGGCAGAAACGTAACTTCATCTCCAAAAGTTGTTTTCTGCATCATAAAAATGATAAACTACTAATTAAATTATCAACTGACTACGATAAGTAATGTAATGAAAATTGATATATAATAAGAGCTGAACTTACTTATTCTAGCTACTGCGTAGTAATTTAAATGACTCCTGCCAATTTTAGCACGGTATAGGAGACAATGTTTTTAACACAGTTCTTTGGACATTGGCCAGTAGGAGCAACTGATATAACTTTCACTTTGCTGGCTGACCGTGCTCGTGATAGAGCAACATACAATTGACCATGTGAGAAACATGATCGAGAGAGATAAATTAACACTTGATATAAGGTCTGCCCTTGTGACTTATTATTGGTCATTGCAAAGCTTATTTTGATTGGAAATTGGCTTCTTTGAAACTGAAAAGGATACTTCTGGGAACTTGATGGCCTGAGTTTAATTCTTGGTATAAAAACATGCTCTCCTTGATGTTGGCCAATGGAAATGACACACTCAATTAAATTAGGAAAAAAAACGCTTGCATATAAGGCGTGTTCCATTACATAGACCAGAAGAAGGCAAAAGTTTTCTGAGCAATATTACTGGGCAGTTTTCTTTTAGCACAAGGTTGTGAGGACTGAGTCCTCCTGGGCACAATTTATTTAGAAATTCTGTAGGATATACACTGCCAGTATCATCCAAAATACTGTCATAGCTTGTATAAGTTACAGCTTGTCCCGGGAATCTTTCAATCATGAAAGAATTGATGTTATCAACATCTTCATTTATCGGTGTCAAAACAACCCTTCTAGAAAAGATTTGATGATCTTAAGCACTTGATTCAAGCTTTGGAAAAGAATGCTCAAGCACTAGAAGCATTGGATTATCATCAAGCTCAAAAGTATACACTATCTGCGCTGGTAACTCAACAAAGTCACTTTCTTTACTTTGCAATTCACCATTTCCTAATGCAAGTAAAAACTGAGAAAATGAAGGATCTTCTCTAGCTCTTAAGTTTTCTGTTAACCTGAATCTTCTCAAGTGGTGCCATATATAAGAACTGACAACGCTTGCTTCAACTGCTTCTTTCTGAGTCTTATTAGGAACAACGGGCAACACTTGTCGGAAGTCTCCACCAAAAACAATTACTTTCCCACCAAACAAAACATCATTATCACATATATCCCGTAAGAGAAGGTCTAGCGACTCTATATTCTGTTTGTTAGCCATTGATGCTTTGTCCCATATTATAAGAGTTGTTTCTTGTATTAATGCAGCCAGGCTACTTTGCTTAGAAACACTACATGCCAATGAATCATCACTATCTACCGGAATTTTAAATCTTGAATGTAATGTTCTGCCAGATGGAATATTTGCAGCCGCTATTCCAGATGTAGCTGTTGGAAAAACAATTTTATTCATAAGACGGATCTCAGCATACAACGCATTGTATAGGAATGTTTTACCCATTCCACCAGGACCATCTACAAAGAAAGCCCCTGGTTTTCCTTCAACAATATGCTGCATTATAGAAGTAAATATTTCCCTTTGTGCTGAATTTAATAAGTTGCAGCAATCTATGCATGCCTGAGGAATTGGAGCATCCAATGCGTCCTGAATATCTTTTGTTCTATCTATTTTTGTATCGTTGTTGTTTATTAAAACAGCTAGACCACACTCACCTAACGATTTCCCCATGGCCTCTAGATGTTGCTCCACTGACCTGACTGTTAGTTTCTTAATTTTGCTTTCAGCACCAGAATACTTTCTTGCAAAATCTTCTGACAATGCAGAATAGTACTTGTACCATAATTGTTCAGCATTGCTCGGTTGACAGAATATGAGAACAGTTGCAAATAAACGACGCAGGGCCACCGGTAGCTGAATTTCAGTAGCTTCAGCTAAACAAATACTTGCAGCATCATCTTCTTCCAGAATACCCGCTGCAAGACAAGCTTCTTTAAAACTTGCATACACATAACCTTTAACTGTACGAAGATCTGTAAAAGACATTGGACTGTTCACATGTAACAGGAGCAATCGAAGATAAAAGCGCTCACCTTCAGAAGGGGCCACAAAAGCTAATCGACCAATCATTGGTTTTTTAGACTGACGCTTATACCATGCTTTTTTAGAGGCATCCCACTTGTAGTGCTCTGGAAATTCCCCGTATAAGTATCCTAACCCATTCTCAGTAGCTGCATTCATACAAAAGAACTCTGTTAAAGGAGTCTTAGCATACGCACCACTTGCAATGCCAACATCTAAACGTTCATAGGGGCGTACACAAACTGTGTTCATGTTTGGAATATGAACAGAAAGAGGCAAGACCGGTGGATACATCTCAAATAAATCAAACCCAAAAATTCTCCAGGCTGCTTCACAAGGTGAGACCCATCTTCCTGACTGAAATTGAGCAATTTCATCACCACAATTTGCATCTTCAGCTGACACGTTAAAGGCCACCCGATCATGTCCCTTGTAAACATATTTATACAGATACTTTACTGCTTTTATAGTTGAACATACTTCGACATTTAAATGACAGTCAAAGAGAGCTGTGAGATAAGGATTATATGGCACAACCCATCGGTTATCTAATTGAGCATTTTTTACCTTCACTTTTTCTCAAGTATCTGTTCTTTGATAACAAGGATAACCATCCTTATTTGTCGTAGTCTGTGCAGTGTATTGCTTCGGATACCCATTTTTACAAGAAATGACATTGTCTCTCTTTCGCATACAAGGGCACTCTGGATTTAGCTCGCCACATGGTCCATGCATCATATGCCTTAAAACAATTACACGTAATTCAGGCTGAGTCACAGGAGGTATCTCTGCATAAACATACTTGTCATAATCAGTAGGACACTTCATCTTATATTGCTGCTGCAAAATCAACAGGAAATGAGCATGTGGCAATCCTCTCTTCTGAAACTCTACAACATATATCATTGCTGCCACTTCACCGAAGACCTTGTCTTTCTTGATTTTTTTTTAAGAGCAATCAACTTTGCTTGGAAAATTCGAGCAACTAAATCTGGCCGATCTTGTGCAGTCTCACCAGGCTCTAATTCCGCTTTTATTTCTGCCCAATTAGCGTTACATGTCATGGTGACAAAGAGATCAGGCTTCCCATACTTCTGCACAAGGGCCATGGCATTTAAGTATCTCCTTTTCATATCACGAGGCCCTCCAATAAAAGATGGTGGCAAAATGAACTTATGTCCAACATTGGCTGCACTTGTCTCTCCACTTTGTACAGTGTCAAGAATACCTTTGTAGAGATCATCTCTTATTGTATCCTGATTTTGTCGGAAAAAATCTAATCTTGTGTTTTCAACTTTGATGTACATATCTGTGATATATTGCAAAAATGCACGACCTGCTCTTAAAAGCATGTTTCCTACTCTAATCTGCAGCTTATAAGCGTAATATTCTCTAGCAGAGATATATCTATCAGCTTTTGTTTTTCTTCTACGAGCTCCTACAAACATTAACAGAGATAAATAACTAAGAGGCACCATATATATAAAAAACAACGGTTATAAAATAAATTGCACGATACATCAGAAAGTTGCAAGTATTTACGAGTTTCTTCTGCATCAAGAAAATCTTCCGTGCTGTGCACTGCGCACGATTGAATAGGATCAAGTTCACTTGCTATTTGTCTGTCTCCACCATGAGAGATTTTCTTTAAACCCTGATGCCATCCACATTTTCCTTTAGGAAAGAGCAAAGGGTACTGTAAAGGGTCATAGCACCCATAATAATGGGCAATGCGATGCGACTTTGCAGATTTTGCCGTCACAAGAATGTGTGGCCATGAACTCTGACTTGATGAAACACTATCAGGCCAAATGACAGCAACTTCATCTGATGTAGGAGCGTTGTATACTCTCTGATCTGGAACAGTGTTTGAATTAATTATGATATTAGTACTTTCATTGACACTTACTTCTTTCAAAGATCGAAAAAATCTGGCATATGGATTATTCTCAGTTACTCGCATCAATATGTCAATAACATCTTGTCTTAACTCAGGGAAACAGTTTGTTCTATGTTTAAGTTCATTTTGACCATCATAAAAATATAGTTGCAAATATTTCGGGCCATTTTCATCAGGTAATAAATCTGGTACAGAGTGATATATATTGGCCATGTAATTTAAAAACATATATGCCTTTGTAAGTTTCTCTATCAGTTTTACCACCAATTGAACTAAATGCAAATAAGTTATTGTACAATCTAGCGTATTTTCTAAAATGCACTGCATCTTCATCTTTTGCAGTAAAAAGTCTTACTAATTCAGGAGGATATTCATTAGCAACAATGCTAATATCACCATTATCGCAGCAAAAATGTAAAGATTCGAAGGAGAATTTCTTAGCCCCACATTCATTACAATAAGTAGGTGGAGATAATAGCAGGGGTTGTTTAGGCAGTGGCTTTCCTATAGTGGCTGCTGGTATTTTTGTCATATATTACAAAAGCATATCTAAGGAATTTCTAATTTGTAAAATCACATACATGTATATGACTTTTATGAACTGAAATTACACTGCGATTTACCTTTTGCTGCATTTCTAAGCTGTTTAGAAGTTTGTGCAGCTGCTGATGGAACTTTAGCAGTCACAGGTTTCTCTGTAACAGAGCATCCCAAAAATGAAGGCAAACTATAAATCACCTAAAAGCACATCTACAGATTGAATATAAACTTAAATCGAGAGAAAATATTTACTTGGAATCACAGTATATTTTGAAGGTCTTGATCTAGGCTTTTTAGATTTGGATTGTTCTCCTTTGCTGCGGGGAAAAACAAACAATTTACAGGCTTCTTTGACAAGGATAAAAAAGCACCATATAAAATTACTCATTCTACCTAATGCAATCACCCATAGATAATACACTTCTTGTTCTCTTTGATTTCCGTCCCTGAGTTAATGGTCTTTTAAAATTATCAGGAGGATCAGCTATAAATAAACATATAGAACAATGGATCAGTAACTTGATTCTCATATAATATAATACATCAGTATAGCAATTAGTATAAATACCAAAATCCATCTCTAATAACATATCATTTATATAGCTCACCCATATAATGTTGCTGCAGTCAAAGCTAGTTCAACAACCTGCAACACGTATCAACTATATCTCTTTGTACCTGATTAAAAAGAACTATGCATTACTAACAATACATGTAGTTTAGTATGTAATAGAGTTACTTAAAGCACTCATACTGCCATACTACTATCTCCCGTGATTCTAATCGTATTCTGCAACACTCTGTTACTTTTTTTTTATTCATCACACTAATATATATTTTAAATAACTGTATTTAGGTGCCCTAAATCTATTACCTAATCCCATAGTCACACCACATTTAAAATTTTTCACATTCCAGAATTCTTTTTTATTAAAGATTTCTCTTTCACACTACTAAGAAAGCAATACCCCAAGAAGAATCCAAGAACAGTAGGGTACTATAAGTATCTGTATCTATCATTTCTCTAATTACAACACTGATACAAGCACCCCCAAAAATCTAAAAACATTGTTTAAATGAAATAATAAACAATCAATGACCAAGTTATAAGATTTTCCTGAATAATTATATTTAAAATAGAATTACATTACATTATATTGAAAATACGCATTACAATGTATTTCAGCTCAACATACAAGGATAGTTTGTTGCTGAAATACTTCAACAAGCACTACAAACAGACCTAACTTAAAAACCAAAAGAAGAAATAACATCCTAGATAATAACAGGCATTTGTCCATAGTAAACCTAGACCAGGTAATTCAATAAAGGTCATGCCGTCCAAAATATTAGATGAAGACTACAAACAAGCTAAACAAACTTTGCACGTTTCCAAACAGTCTCTAATTCAGGTATCCCAGAAACCAAAGGCTCAGTGCGAGAAGAAGATGCAGCACTTAATGGTGTTGTTGAGCGTCTTCTGATTGGAGCAGCTGGAGGAAAACTAATCTTGGGTATCTGATTTCTTTCATAAGTAGGAGTCAAACATTCATCATCAACAAACTTTTCTTCCCTCGCAGCTAAGCACCTCTTTAATTGATAAAATCTTTCTTTTAAAGCACTACAAGCAGCACTCTTCTCCAAAGAAACACCGTAATTAGCACCAACAATTTCTAGGTTGTATCTAGTCACCAAGTAATGTATAGCTCTCTTAGCAGCCTTCTGCATAGCACTATTTATTTCAGGACAAGCATCACTATATATGCACTCCAATTCACCTCCACTATGGAGACAAGTCACTGTTAACCAAGCTACAAAGCCCAAGCCTTCCACCCAAATAGTCTCTAATGGACTTACATCTGCACTTGTTCGTGTAACAACAACACCTAAGAAACCTACAAAGTTAATCGTTACATGAACAACTTCATCAGAAGATTTCTTGCCTAAATTGCTCTGTGAAATAGGCACTTCTAATCCTTTCTCAGAACATAACTCAGCAACCTTATGTTTATAAAGCTTGCTGCATAGCTGATACATTCTTGCTCTATCAGAGGTAAAATCACTCACTCGCACCCCAAAAGGGCTCATCAATTTCTGCACAGCTTTTTGAGCTGCCCTTTCTTGTGACTCATGAGCTGTATTGGCTTCCCCACCAAAGAACACAAATTCAGATTTGCCATTATCAGTCTTAACACGAACACAAGCATTGTTCCTAGCCTTGTCTATGAAATCATAAACAGGTTCAGAAAAATTTAAACAACAACCATTTGACCTAAAAGAGGTCGAAATGGAATGGCAATTCTGTTGAACTGAATAGCCATAACCTGTAACCGGCAAAAATAAAATTAAACAAACAAACATATCTTCTAAACTAAAACAACTATTAAACTATAACAGCTAGCATAGCAGATTTAAAAAAACTCAAGCATTATATTAAATTCTAATCCAAATTTTACTAAATATACTTACCAACAATAGAAGTAAGTAATTGTAACAGCACAGATAGCTCCAGTTGCAAAAACCTAGAATTTTTGTATTATAATACATTTTTTTCCCCCACAACCCAAAAAAAAAAAAAAAAAAAAAAAAAAAAAAAAAAACACAGAAAATGAAGATGTTAGCTAGTTGACTAAATCCAAAATAGCACAAAGATATTAAGGTAAGGAAAAATAGAGCCATCAGTCCATCAATGAAAAACTGTAAATTATTTAAGTAATGTAGAACTGCAAGTTTAGTAATCTCAGATCTACTATAGTTCCGGTAAGTTAAGCAATATTGTATTTCATAAATCATTAAGCCAGTATTCATTTCTGTCTGTACAATTCCACCATTATTAAAAAATACATCCACACCAATAATCCAAGGCAAAGATTCATAAAACCAACCTTTATAGTCACAGGATAATAAGGAGAGGAAGAAACTAAAAATAAACCACACTAAAGGCAAGATACAATATATATATATATATATATATATATATATATATACATACATACATACATACATTATTTAATTATATATTATTATTATCAAAAAAGAAAAAATAAATTAAAGGACAATATATATATATATATATATATATATATATATATATACATACATACATTATTTAATTATATATTATTATTATCAAAAAAGAAAAAATAAATTAAAGGACATATCCAACATATTTCAACCATCTAAAAAATCTACACCACATAAAAGGACACATTCTACATATTTTATTTAGAGAAAAACATATACCATATAAATTATTTCAATTTGAAGATTGAATTTTAAAACTGACCAAACGAAAGGACAAAGAGTACACATTTCATCAATTTTAAAATTCATCACACACTGTGCTTCAACAGTGTAAATTACTAACCCACTTTTGCATATTAACAATGAATTAATTGCCTAATTAATTTGTTAAATCAGACAATTCACACTGTTACTCATCAAACACAACAATAACTAAAATAATTTTCAATAACAAGCAAAGTAATAATTAGACAAACCTCACACTGCGAAACAACCAAATCCAAAGCTGCGACCAAAGAAACTCCATCAAACCACTCCATGAAAGTAACATCTGCAAAAACCAAAGAAGCTATAAGGACAACAACAACAAAAAAAAAAGCAAAAAAAAAAAGGCCTAAAGCAAAGGCAGTACCTAACAAAGAACGAAAGGAAGAAGATTAAAATGAAATGAAGAAGATGAAAGGCAAAGATGCTAATAGCAGGGGAGACAAGGACACGCGTCAGCCGACATATGACAGATAGCATGCTAATACACAAAGACTAAAATAGCCCTAGAAATTTAGGCAATCCAGTTTAGGGGCTAAGGGCAAGGGCGTCAATCCGCTGTTCCTAAGGAACAGTAAAACTCACTACAGTCCTGGTGCTTGGGACTTTTTAAGGGGTAAAGATGTTACTCTTAATAATCTAACACAACAATACTTATTTGTTACCTTGAACTAAAGTAACAGGAAAAAAAAAAAAAAAAAGTGTTGCTCTAGACTATATAAGGCAACAGTCGCTTAAAGTGTTACCTTTTTCGTGTCTAAGACAACAAATATAATAATTGTTGCATGAAAAGATAACAATTACAAAACTATTGTTGGAAAAATGTAACATTAATATCTATGTTGCCATCTATAGCAACATTTATATTAAAATGACAATATATATATATATATATATATATATATATATATATATATATATATATATATATATATATATATATATATATATATATATGAGCAAGTTTGGTAGAGTTGGTGGGGAACTCACCTTGTGACTCTGAGGTCACAAGTTCGAGCCCTACCTACTACTAAATGCTTGGGAGTGACAACATTTTTGAATTATCTTCTTATATGGCAACATTTTTCATTTGTTGTCTTTGTTAAAGTGTTGCCTTATGTATCATTTTACCTAAGCTTTCAAAATTGTTGCCTTTGAATAACAATGTGTTGCCTTATGAACGGGGGCATAAATTACGCCTCATATGTGTTGTCTTAGCTACAAGGCAACACTTTTTTTATATTAGGCAATGGTTTTGCATTGTTACCTTTGCTTTATTAAGTTGTAGTGGCCGATGCTTTTGTTAATGGAGGCATCTGATATTGGAATAGAAGAGATACAATTGTAAAGTATGTTGGTGGACACAAGAGTGCTCACAATAATGCCGTGATTGGTATGAATTATTCCATGAATCAAATGAGTAGCATTGCCACCGCTTTATCAAAACAAACCGCAGAAACCATGAGTGTCTATCGTAAGAGATTATAAGCTTCAATTGAAACCAGTAGATGGCTATTGTTTCAAGGGTTGCCTTTCGTGGTCATGATGAAAAGGAAAGCTCATTGTCTAGAGGTAACTTTCTTTCGTTATTAACTCTTCTTTCAAACCATGATCCTGAGTATTCCAAAGTTGTTTTTAAAATGGCTCCTGGTAATTGTCAACTTACTTCTCCAAGTGTCCAAAAAGATATAATCAATGCTTGTGCAAAAGAAACAATTAAAGCAATATTGGATGGACTTGATGGTGGTTTTTTTTGCTATTCTTGCTGATGAATCTGCAGATGTTTCCGATAAGGAACAAATAGCACTTTGTTTGAGATTTGTTAATAAAAAGGAGGAAGTGTGAGAACGTTTTCTTTGTATTGTGCGTATTCTTGGTACTACTTCTTTGACTCTCAAAACTGCTATTGATTCATTACTCATGGAACATTCTTTAACTTTCTCACAAGTTCGAGGTCAGGGTTATGATGGGGCAAGTAATATGCAAGGTTCAATCAATGGCCTTAAAACTCCAATTTTGAATGAATGTTCTCAAGCATACTATGTTCATTGCTTTGCTCATCAACTTCAATTGACACAAGTTGCTCTTACTAAGAAAAACTCAGATTGTGGTTGGCTTTTTGTTGATGTAGTTGCACCTCTCTTGAACTTTGTGGGAGGTTCACCTAAGAGGAAAGAATTTCTTCAAGAAAAAAAACGTCAAGGGGTTGTAGAAGCATTATCCTTGGGTGAAATTGAATTGGGAACTGGTTTAAATCAAGAACGTGGCTTATGTAGACCTTGTGATACTCGTTGGGAATCTCACTTTGAAACCATTTTGAATGTGCTTGATTTTTATCCTTCAATACTTTTGTCACTTGATTCCATTGCAGAAGTATCTGATACACTTGATTCGAATAAAGCAAAATCTATTACACACTTGTTGATGTCATTTGATTTTGTGTTTGTGGCACACTTGATGGTTGATATATTTGGAATTACAAATGCGTTCAATGTGGCATTGCAAAAACATGATCAAGATATTGTAAATGCAATGGTCATGGTTGATGTAACCAAGACTAGTTTGCAAAAGTTGAGAGATGAAGGATGGGATTCACATATGGAAAAAGTCACTTCATTTATGGCTAAATATGACATTGAGGTTCCAAACATGGAGGGGCAATATATTGTTCTTGGGAGAAGAATGTATAGAGGTAAAGGTCCACAAGTGACTAATCTTTATCATTTTAAAGTTGAAGTTTTTCTAAGTGTCATTGATCTTCAATTACAAGAACTTGAAAATCGATTTCCCGAGGTAAGTAAGGAATTACTTGTGTATATGTCTTGCTTTAATCCTGCAAATCGGTTTCATTCTTTTGATAAAAGAAAATTAGTTCAACTTGCCAAGTTTTCCCAATGAATTTTCAAGCTCCGAGTTATTATTTTTTGAACATTCACTTGAAAATTTCATTGTTGATGTTTGAAATGATGAGAGATTTTGGAATTTGAAGGGTCTAAGTGAACTTTCTATGAAACTTGTTGAGACGGGAAAGTTTGAAACTCATGATCGAGTCTACTTAATTACTTTTGAAGTTGGTGTTGATTCTTCCCGTTGCAACGACAAGTGTAGAAAGAGTATTTTCGGGAATGACGCAAGTGAAAGATAAATTGCGTAATAGCATGGGAGATCAAATGTTGAATGACTGTCTTATTACTTATCTAGAAAGAGATTTGTTTTACAATGTTAGCATGGATGATACTGTAATTCGTTATCAAAACATGAAAACTCGCCGGGAGCAATTGTAATAAATTTAGTACTTTTTTAGTTGTAATATGAATTTAAATTACTTTATGAAATGAACTTTTTTATGTATTTTTTTTGTTCATTATTCAAGCTTTGATTATTTTTTGATATATTATATGCGGTCGATGTACGATGGGACAACCTATTAATCAAATCCTGGATTCGCCACTGCCCACATACATTTTGAGTTTGCGATGTATAATTGGGTGTTTAAAAAACTATATAAAGATTTCAAACTGTTTTTGAATTCAAACTTGAAGGGGAATATTATTCTTAATGAAAAAGCTGGACGGAAAATGATACTCTCCTGCTATTACTTTGTAAACGTTAATTTATTATCTATACTAATATACTAAAGTAATCCCCAAAATAATTCTTAGCTTACACGTGTCAACGACATACGAAGTATTATAAATTTTCCCTCCAAAAACCTTTTTTTTTATTGACATTTTTTTCATAAAAAATAAATAATAATTTTATCAAGATTAAAAATGAGATAGAAATTTTAAATTTTAATATACATAATCCTGGCTTTCAATTTGATCAAATTAAAAAAAATGTATGTTACGTATTGATAATTCCAGTTTTCGACAACTAAGTAAATCATTATACAAATTTTATTTTTCATGTTATCATAAAAATAAGCCAACCATGTATTAACTGAAAAAACCCGAGCATAACTCGAGCATTAACTAGTTACCACTAAATCGAAAGATCGTGACACTTTGAAATATGTGTCCAAAGTTATTAACTTTAACTATTATACTCATTATTACGTATTTCAAAATATAGTTATGTAGGATCTTGTTTGAATCATCTCAATTAATTTTTCAAATATTACCTTTTTATAATTTTTTGAAATGCAAAATCAGAGATATTAATAGTTTAATATTACACTACACTCCGTGCAAATAGTGAGTGTAAAGAACCTTCAAGAACAAAGGTTGCATATTTTATGATCGTTTTTATTTATTAACGTGACAAATAAAAATGGTGTTGAATATAATAAAACAAATCAAAAAAGATGTCCAATGTAGTCAATACTTTTGCAATGCCAAATTGTGGTTTGCATGCAAACATTAATCATGAACGCGGACATAAGGACAACTTCTCTCAACATTTTACATGGTTCATGAGGAAGAGTTTTCTCTAAACTCATTGGTTGTCTAAGCCAATGGCGGTGGTCATCAAATACTCATTCATGCACCTCATTCATGCACAATTTTCATTCCCACTTATACCCATATACTCTCATTTATTACTTTAGTCAATAATCTTTTCTTTATCATACTTGTACTAAACAAGAATATTAAAAAAAGACATTATTAGTCAATTTTAGCAGGACAAGTGGCGAACCTTAATCCTTTGCCCACCTTTTGCCAAAGGTCAAGGTCAAGGTCAAGGTCATGGCCATAACGGGGTCATAACATTTTTCTCTCCAAAAACAATGAATTATTTTGTAAAAAAAATTTAGTATTATTTCATCTTCTCTCCTCATGCCCACTACAAAAAGGGCAACCAATGGGTGTTCTCTAAGAGCAAAGTCAATGCTTGCCCATGCCAATGGTGGTCATCAAATATTTAATTCATATCTCTCTTTTCCATCTCATTTATGACCAATTTTCATATCTACTTATGCCCATATACTCTTATTGGTTGCCCACTACTTACCCTAGTATTAAATATTTTCTTTTTTTTTTTAAAGAAGTATTAAATATTTTCTTGATTATACTTGTACTAAATAACTAAAAAGAAAATAAAAAATAAATACTACTCCGTATCAGTCAATTATAGCAGGACAAGTGATGGACTCTAATTCTTTGCCCACCTTTTGCCAAACGTCATGGCATTTCTCTCTCCAAAATTGATGAATTTTTTTTTTTTCAATATTATTTTATCTTCTCTCTCCTCATGCCCACTACAAAAGGGTAACCAATGGGTATGCTCTAAGAGGATCCTCCTAGCTCTCCTCTTGCACCTCCATGAGAAACCTTAAAGCCAACAAAAAAGTGAGCTAAAAAGATAAAAATCCTATTGATGCTAATGCTTTAAGCTAAGGGAGGGTGATTGCAAAAGGAAGTTTATGGAGGAAAAATACATCATTTGAATAGGCTATACATACAATTTGAGTTTGCACATTATTATAATAAGGTGTTTAAAAATTCAAATAGAGGATTTAAACCGTTTCAATTTAAATATTTTTTTCGAAAAATACTGTGTAGAACGGACTCATGTGAGTCCGTTCTATTTACTGGCCCGCGCTCGGCCCGTTTATTAAATATTAGCCCGCGCGTGGCCCGAACCTTAAATAGACCTTTTTTTTTTCCATCGTTCCGCCTTCCTCCTTCTTCTTCTCACCCACGATTTCTTCTTCCACTCCATTTCTAACAGTTACACTCCATTACTATCGACTTAATTTCACATTTCTGACTAATTAGCATAACTACTTCATTTTCTAGTTTAATTTTACTTCATTACTTAATTTTTACTTCTTTATAAACCCTAACATTCTTCATTTTCGACTCAATTAATGTCGTCGATTAAAGATTCTTCTCCCTTAAAAGTTTATCAGAAACGAAGTAAACAACCTCGAAAAAAAGAGAATACAGTTGCAATGGCTGAAAGGTTTTTATACTTCAGTTATTTTCTAGGTTATACTTCAGTTATTTTCTAGGTTATACTTCAGTTATTTTTTTTTAAAACAATCATTTTTATAATTTATTATTCCATTTTGTAGGGTCGATTCAGAACCACCATTGAAGAAGCGTGGTCCTAAACCTGGGTCTAAACGAAGTCGACCTGTTAGGTGTGAAATTGTATTCTATTTATTTCGCAAAAAGACATAGCATTTTGTATTTGTTGTTTCATGTTGAATACTTGTATATTTTCTTGTGAAATAAACACATATATGTGGTTATAATATTTTATTTTGGTAAGTCAGGAATAAGATTATTATTTTCAAGAATTATATTTTATTAGCCAGGAATTAGGATTGTTTAGTCAGATATTAGATAGTGTGCTTAAGGAATTGGTGTATTCAAGTCAGACATATAATTCTAAAAGTTGGAAATTATCAAGTTTTAGTTAGATATTAGCAAATTTATATCAGGAATTGATCTAGGTTTATCAGTAATAAAAAAATAAATTAATCAATCGATGATGTCAATAGTTACAGTTTTGTATTTAAAAATTTGAAGCCAGAAATAAGATTATTATAATCAGGAATTAGCTTGCTTTCTTCATATATTAGATAATTTAATTAAGTTCTTTGTCTATTCTGGTCTAGCATAACATTCTAAATTTCAGGAATTAGCAAGTTCAAGACAGAAATAAGATTAATATAATCAGGAATTAAATATTAATAGTCAGGAATTAGAATGGTAAGAAAATAAATCTCATGCTTTGGTGAATTTTATTCAGGAATAACAATTTAAACGTCAACATTTAGCACGTTTTAGTCAGATATTACATAAATTTTGTCAGTTATTAGTTTTTTATTTTACTCATAGTGGTTCTCAGTACTGTGTGATTTGCTTAAAGATTTTTATCTTAAATATATGTTTTAAAAATCTCTCAATTTTAATGTGATTTTTTACTTTTCAAACTTTCATAATTCTTAGTGAAGATGATATTGAAGACTTAGAGCTTGGTAATAAATCTGGCCTAGTCATCTTTGTCAAATTATGGAAGATTTAAGTGATCAGCAAAAAAAGGATGTGAAAGATATTGGGTTTGGTGGGTTGCTTAATATGAACTTGAAGGATAATATCAGTCACCAGTTGTATGGTTATATGGTAACTCATTATAATCCTAAGGCAAGAAATCTGATTGTTGGTAAAAAAGAACATGCCATTCATATTGACAGTTCTGATATTGCTGATGTTTTGGGCATTCCTTTTACTGATATACCTGTAAAAGAGATTTCCAAAAACAAAAAAGGTTTTAATCCTGATGATTATTTGAAGTCAGAGTGGAGGAAATTTTTAGGTTTGGATGGAGAAGAAGATTTGGAAAAAGAAAATGAATCTGAAAGTAACAAAAAAAAGAAGAGGAAAACTGGTGATGAATCTGAAAAAGGTATTGAAAGTAAGAAGAAGGAATCTGAAAGACCAGCTCAAAGTAAGAAGAAGAAGACGTATGTTAATTTTCTTACTTATCAATCATTGTTTGAGAAATATAGGGGTGGAGGTTATGAATTTAAGAGACTATTTGTTATGTTTGCTGATGTTTCTAATTTTTTGGCTCCAATTGGTGATAAGTCCCCTAATTTTAACATCATAAAGTCTTTGGAAGATGTACGTTTCATAAAGACTTACAACTGGGCTGGTTATGTGATGGATTGGTTATGTACATCTATAGCAGAGTTTCAGTCCTTTGTTTTGAAGAAGAAGGAAGGACAAGAATTGAAAAGTAAATCAAAACAAGTAAATGGCTGTTTGGTTGCCTTTATAATTGCTTTTTTACAAAAGTTTTAGTTTGGTACCACTTTAGATAGGAAGCCATTTGTAATGAATTGGTCATGTGAATCTCTGAATGAGCGGATTAAAGCGGTTGCTGAAAATATTGATTATGGTTCTGTGAAATTGTATCATCAAACATTACCATTACAGTATGCTGGCAAAAGTGAACAGGAGATTCTTAAATCTTTTCAGCTGGATAACATTGAGTTTAAACTTGAAGATACTAATGATGATGAAGATTCTGTTGGAAATATGGAAGGTCAGGGTGTACAATCTGCCCTTATTGATTCTGGTAAAAATAAGGATGGTCAGGGTTAGGGTTGGCAAAAACTGACCCGACCCGAAAACCCGACCCGAAAAAAGTGGGTTAGGGTTGAGTTTTTCGACCCGAAAACTTAAATGGGTCGACACGAACCCGAACCCGAAATTAAATGGGTTAGGTTAAGGTTGAAAATCTCAACCCGAAAACGACCCACTTAACCCGAAATAAATTTCAGGTCAAAATCAGGTCGGGTCAACCCGAACCCGACCTGATAAACTCG